GAGCTCATTGCCCAATTTCAGATTCCAGTGCCGTACTGGAATAAAGCTTTGGCAGAAATTGGATGAGATGTTAAATGCGAATGTGAAGCCTGGCTCAGTGGAAGCACTCTCGCCTCCGAGTCAGAAGGTTGTGTGTTCAAGCCCCACCTCGGCACATGAAATCACACAGTCGAAGCTGACACTCTAATGCAGTGCTGGGGATGTGTTGCATTATCAGAGGTGCTGACCTTCAGATGAGATGTTAAAGCAGAGTCCTGTCTGCCTGTTGAGGTGGCCTTTAAAGATCCCATGGCATAATTTGAAAATAGAAGGGAGTTTCTCCCAGTGTCCTGGCCAACAATCCCCAAAATAAAATTGGTCACTCAATCTATGGCTGTTTGTGGGACATTGCTGTGCACAAATTGGCTGCCATGTTTGCCCACAAAATATACATTTGCCAACTTTACAGTGTAACCTGTGAAGTGCTTTGAGACATCTGAATGACATGATAGATGCCATATCTAATGTAAGGATTATTACTGTTGTACAAATCATGTATGTCTGTTTTGAGGTAGACTTTACAGATCCCATGAATCTATTCAGAATGAGAAGGCATTTTCCCCCCGGTGTCCTGGCCTACAATTCTCCCAAAGCAATTGGTTAATCAATTCATTGCTGTTTGTTGGACCTTACTGGTGCAAAGGACTGACACTTTTTCCTAGAAAATACACAGTTACTACACTTGATAATAGATTACCAGTGAAGAGCGTTGAGACATTTTGAGTTAATTGGGTTTCCTGCGGAGGTCGAATGTGAAGCAGGCTTCTGGGCACAACTATTACGAATGGCTTTGGAGAAGGCAACCAGTCAGTAATTTATCATATTGACTGGCCTCTTTATTCAACAATATGTTTATGAGTACCGTCAGTGTAATATTTACCTACAGCCGCAACATTTATAATTCTTCTGTGCTCAGAAAGGAGTGAAGAAATTGATTCTGGTCTTCATTTGCAAATACGTTTGGGGAAATGACATTTGTGAGGTGCCTGGTAGTGTGGAGCACTGCAGTAAGATAAATTCGTGCAAACTCACAAAGATATGAAACATAGGCCCCATACTGTGCATTCCTGAGCTTGCTGACAGATTGGAAGGCACCGGGCAAAGGCTAGGTATTTTCCCTAGTGTGATAATGGGTGTATTAATTGGGGTTTATTAATTCAAGGTTCTGTTGCACACACAGGTCTAAGAGCATGTCAACTATCTGTCACTTAATAGGGAGTAATGGGGAATGGCAAAGGGAGCTAAAGAAGTTTAAAATGTTGCAATTGGGAAGAGAAGATGAAAATTGAAAAGAGAATGTAGATTAAACAAATGTTTTGAAGAAAACTACAAAATGTAAAAGAAAGTTTATGGAGGTCACAACAACAAATCAGTTGTAAAAGACGTGCTTTACCTGGCTGACCTTTCTAAAGGGCAAAGTATTTTCATAGTAAATTAGAAATTAATGATTAAATAACTTGTCATTTTCTATTTTGATCAGATGTGTCCTCAGTAAGTACTGTATTACTTAAAATGTCACCAGTGCCCTCAGTATGCAGTCGCACCAAATCAAAATGTCATTTGAAATATTTTTCACCCAATAAAGATTCAAATTATGCATTTAAAAACTACACACTGTCTCTCATCACTCTCTGCATAATTATCAACCATCCAAAACTCAATGTGCCTTTAGGTTTAACTTTCTAAATGGAACTCTTATACCTCAGGACTTATGAGCATGGGATACAAAAATTGCTTGAATCATTTTTCTTCTCCAGACATTTTATAACACAAGACTTATCTGTATCGTAAAAGGGTAGTTTTCATTCATAACCCTCAACACAAATCTGTTTCCCTGTATTAAAATCGTAACTGCAAACATATTACTCGCTGCATGAAATAATAATCCTTGCATTCATATAGCACCTTTTTATGTTGTTGAAACCTCTCAAAGCGTTTCATAGGATTTTTACTGAGAAGTGTAGTGACTGAGTATTTATAGGCGAATAAGTCAGCCAATGTAGAGAACAATGTCCCACAAATAGCCATGAAGTTAAATGATTAATTCTATCTGGAGAACCGTTGATCATGACACCGGGAGAAATTCCTTTCTCTTTTCGAATAGTGCCATCAGATCTTTTAACATACTGTACATCTAATCAGGCAGGTAAGACACACACATACAAACTACATCAAAAGAAATGATCACATGCATTCAGTGTAAAACCAATAATCTTTATCATGGCATCTGCCCTGCTCCCCTTGAATCTCACTCAGGATTTCTTTCTGAAAATATATTTGTGATTCTTGTTACCATCTCAGCTCAGTTAGTTGCATTCTTGCCTCTGTGTCAGAAAGTTGTTGTTTTAAGCAACACAGTGGGAATGCTGTAGTGTTAACTTTTGGTGAAATAGTAAGACGGAGGCCGCATTCGTCTGTTCAGATAGATGTTAAAAATCCCATGACACAGTTTGAGAAGAAAGGAATTTATCCCAGTGCCTTGACCAACACTCCCAGATCACTTCATGAATCGCTTCAAGGTTGCTTGTGGAACTGGATATCCTGTGAAGCGCTTTGAGATGTCTCACCGATGCACTACATCAAATGCAAGGATTATATTATTCAAATGATTGCTGATTATGGCTTACAAAACGGTCGCTATACTTCAACAATTATAGTTTAGGACGTGGAGACAATTAACATGATGCAATACTACAAAAGTTCTTTCTTCATGGCAGGTCTGCCACATTGGATTTGACCCTGTACATCTTTGCTATCCTCTGTCCCATAAGGATCTGTGGCATTTCATTCTCCCTCACCAAGGTGAACCATAGGGCCAACATGAGCTCAGTTTCACCATTACCCAACTACCTTTTGTTCGATAAAAATGTATCACCTTGAATACCAGAAATCATTTTAGTCGAGATAGTAAGAGCAACTGGAATGCTGGAAATCGGAGATAAAACTTGAAAATGCTGAAAAATGACGGGGTTCAAACAGCATCTGAAAAAGAAAGGCATCTTTACATAGAAACTTCATTAGAAGTGGTCCAATTGAGCTGGAGAACCTTTATAGGACAAGTAGGGCCAAGCCAAAAAAGCGACATTTGGATAGAGTTAAAATATTTGATTCATTAAATATCAACACAAAATAACAGTTGAAGGCTCATTATGGATTGTGGCATTCTAGAGAGAGGCATTGAAGGACTGTACTTATTTCATTTGAAAAGAATCAAACATGTAGGTATAAGATTAATGCATTCAAATAGGGTGAGTGAGACAACAACAGCTTGCATTTATACAGCGTCCTCTTTGTGGGTTGTGACTGAAGGTACGATCTAACAGGAAGGTCCTCATGTTTGATTTGAAAATAAACAAAGAGGGAGCAAGATTGAAGGATCGAGGCAAGGAGTTCTAGAGCTTTGTGGCATAGTGGCTTAAAGCATAGCTGCCATTTGTGGAGTGGAGGGGATGAAGGTGTGCAGAAGACACATGTCAGCTGAGCAAAGGTAGAGTGGTGTGTGAGCAGATTGGAGAAGTAGGGAGGTGCCAGAGCATGAAGTAATTTGTAAGTGAGTGAGGATCTTCAATTTTTTCTATCCAAAATTTCATCTTTTAGTTGTCTTTTTCCTACAAAATTTGTAATTTGCCTTGATGTAATCTCTTCTAACTTCATATTTATTGGCATCCATATTGCTTCAAGACTGTATGCCTACAAAATGCAATCATTGCACTTTATAGTGTATCCTGTGAGATGTTCCCCTGAAATGAAAGGCGCTGTGTCAAATGTAAGGATTATTATTATTTCGTTCAGATCCATATTTTATCCACCAGAAACACTGCTGTTATCCTGCTGCAATGTATGTTTCTACCATTAGCATTCCTCAGTGATTGAACTAGTGGAACACCCTCTGGTGGTAGAAGATTGGAAGGCAGCAGGTTAATCACAAAACCTGCAGCACCCAGACTTGCTGTGCTTTGTGCTTAATTTGGATGTTCAGCTGTGTTGCATCATGTGGTCAGTGAACCACAACATAAAACCCCCAAATTCTAGCATTCCATAAATGGGAGGAATTTTCTGAACTGGTGTAGTACGTAATCTACCTGCAAGCTGAAGAATAGCACTGTCAAAAATCTAATTTGTGTGAGAAGCTTGTAAAATGTTCAATGTTTACAGCACAGTCTTATTACTTGGCTACGTTTCTCCAGCTGCTAAGGCTTTCTGCCCACTTATCGGCTATTTTTCTTGCACAAAGACAGCAGCTAGTGTAATGTGTGCAGTGCTAGTTTTGAAGGCATTCTAACATTTAACAGAATCTAGCTTACAACACATTTTTGGCACAATTCAAAAACATAAGAAAGGGAGAATGCTTGATCGCAAATTTAGAGTGAAATAGATTTTTCCTTTGAAGGACAATTACCTGAAATCTCTCTCCCACACCACCGCCCACCCCCATTCTGAACACAGAGACTCACACTGGTTCTGTATCTATGACAGCCGCCTTGTCTCCATTGTTGATGAGTGAATCTTGACAGTGATTGTCGGCTACAGTATTTCATTGTAGATGGTATCAGACCTAAGTCTATTCCTGTCCTTGCAGATGTTCAATTTCCAGCTGGAGTGACCAGTTTAGCTGTCGGGAGCAAAGCCCTGGCCACTTGTTCTTCCTCAGACTAATGTGGGAGCACTGAGGAATAAGATCAATGAACTCTGTATGTACCAGGTATTGAACCTGGTCAGCTTTGCTCAATTAGTAAGTTGCACACCACATAATGTATTTACTTAAAGATGCTTAAAGGGAACGAAGTCCAGTATTTATTGAATATAATTTATTTGCAGTTTGTACTGTATGCCAGACCTATCCTTTTATAACATTTCAAAATGTAATGGTTTTACCTTTGGTCTTTTTGTTTCACAAATAAAGGATTGAAACATAATCTCTACTCAAATAAAATAATCAGAATTTAAATGATTTATTTCAGAAATCCAGTCCATCTTCAGTAAAGACCACAGGCAGCCCCCAGTATGATGGCTGTGTCGTGACATACAAGGAGAAGGTAGGTATGTAGTATGAACAGAAGAGAAATTGGAAACTAAACACCTTCACTCACAGCAGATAGTATACAGGTGCAGTATACAGGCTATTTACAAGTTGTCATAAAAGGTTTCCGTTGCTCAGAAACTTTGTTTTTTATAGATTTGAAAAATCATAATTCCATCCCTTTTCTTCAAGTCTTGGAGCCCAGACTAGTAACTACTAATTACGCAGGAAAGACACTGAAGCTTGTTTTGTGGGTAGAACATCACTGAAGATCACCTAAGAAAGACAGAACATAGTCCAGCACCAGATGACCTACAATTTTTTCTTGCTTGTCTAAAACCATCAATAATGGTTGTGTCATAGATCGATGTCTCATCTCCAAGTCGGTATAGAAATCAGGCATTTAAGAAGTTTGTATCTAGATTTGACATTTGCTCATAACAATAAGTTCAAAGCTGTTGGTTCACTTCTTTTGTTCCCCTCCCCACTCCACACATATAGCCTTCCCAGGAATATGAAAGCTAAAGATTTATTGATGTAATTTTACTTACCTAGTTAAGGCAAGCAGTCTGCACACTATCACCAGCATAATGTTTTTATTATTTACAATGGAATTACCTGGGTTTGATTCCTGGCATGGTAAAACCTTGGGCAAGTTTCCTTACTCCACATGCCTGATAATAATCCCTCAGAAAAACAAAGAAAACAATCATAATTTGGTCACTCAATCCACGACTGTTTGTGGGAGTGTGCAATTGGCTGCTGTGTTTCTCCCACAAATATAGTCAATTCACGTTACAATACATTTTGTGAAGCGCTTTGAGATGTCTGGAAGACATGAAAAACGCTATTTTAAATGCAAGGATTATTTTTTATTATTATGATTAGCTTGAATTGTTTTCAAATATATAAACAGCAGGGGTCACTTTCTAAACAATAGAAGCCTTTCAGACGTGAGTGTGATTCTGATTCTTGTAAATAGTGGAGAGTGGGTTGTGTTGTCTGTTGTGAATAGAAGTGTCTGGGGTTCAATGTCTAAAACAGATTATTGAGGTACTTGGCAAAACACCAATTAAGCTCATTACCTTGTGGGTTAATCCAGTTAAAGTGCATTGCTCTTTAACTGCAAAGCCTTTTCATTTAAAATTTGTTTTCCTGCCTTTGGGTGTTACTGCCTTTTGACGTGTGAAGAAGTATTTCTTATTTTTCCCGTTGTTACATAAATCATGATACCAGAGGTCAGAAGGTGCATTTGACTATCAGGCACCTTTCCTTCTTTCTCCACTCCCTTCCACTTCCACAAGCACAGCCTATCCCCTTACTCCTCTGGAACCTTCCCCTCATTTGAGCACCTGACCCTCTACTATCCCTCCCTGTTTATCGTCCCCCCAAACCCTCTCCTACCTTCCCCTCGGACACCTCCACCCTCCTATCTTCCCTTTCCCTCTGTTCCGAATGCCCCGTCATCCTAGGCTACTTCATCCTCCATTTAACCCCCTCCTGCTGTACTGCCGCTTACGCCTTTCTCCTCTCACTGCCTCTCCCTACACATCTACTCTGCCACCCACACCTATGGCCATCTGTTTGGCCTGGTGACTACCTGGGGCCTCAGCATCTTGGACCTCACCGACAAAGCCATCTTGGACCATTACTTCATCTCCCTTAACTTCTCAATCCCTCTCCCCTCTGCCACCCAACCCAACTCCATCTCCAACTCCTCTTGGAAAAAGTATCCACCCCCCCTCTCCCTCTCCGCTGCCTTGGAGTCATCTGGGCTTCCTCCCGCAATGTACTATTCTCCTCGGTCACTCTCCTCCACAGCTCCTCTCCACCACTCTCGATGCCGTTGCTCCCCTTATCTCCCGAACCATCTACCACCTGGCTCAAATCCAACTTAACTATCCATCAGCAGATCTGGCTGGACCTTATCAAATCTTACCGCTCCACACTCGCCTCTGCTAAATCGTCCTTCTATGTCCACAAGATATACAGTCAATTCACTTTATAGTGTATTCTGTGAAGTATTTTGAGACATCTTGAAGATGTGATAAAGTCCTATAATAATAATGCAAGGATTATTATTATTTATTAAGACAATGTTGGAGGCTAGGAACAACCCCAGGCTTCCCTTGTCCATCACCAAGCGGCTCCTACGCCCACTCATGCCTCGCCCATCTTCTCCTCCAAGGCCAACTGAGAGGAGGTGCTAGACTTCCTCGAAACTAAAGTCAAGGGGATCCACTCAGCTGCCTCTGCTCCAACCCGCTCCTCATACCCCAGCCCGAACCATCTCTCGCGCTACACCTTCGAACCTGTCTCCCATTCCTCTCAGACCACCACCATAGTCCACGTGAAACCAACCACCTTCCCCCCTCAACCCATCCCTACCCCTCTCCTTATCTCCCAGCTCCACCTCCTTGCCCCCCTACTCACAGACATCATAAGCCTCTCCCTGTCCACTGGCATTGTTCCCACCCCTTTAAAAACGTCCGCCATCACTCCTTAAAACACCCTCCCTGGACCCATTCCTTCTCTCAAACTAACATCCCATCTCCAAGCTCCCTTTCCTTTCCAAGCTCCTGGAACAAGTCATTGCATCGCAGCTTCGCTCCTCTCTCTCCCGCCATTCCCTTCTTGAACCCCTGCAATTGGATTTCTGTACTGCCCACAGCACAGAAACAGCCCTGGTCAAAGAAACAAATGACATTTTGTCCATCTGAGACCAGGACTCCCTCTGCCTCCTCATCCTCTTTGACCTCTCTGCTGTCTTGAATACCGTTGACCACTCGATCCTCCACCGTATCTGCTCTCACCTCAACCATTATGGCTCTGTCCTTGAATGGTTCAGATCCTACCTCTCACACCCATCTCCACTCATCTCTACAAACTGCTTCTCCTCTAGCCCCCACATCGTCTTGTGTGGCGTTCCTCAGGGCTCTGTCCTTGGTCCCCTCCTTTTCAATATCTATATGTTCCCTTCTGGTGACATCATCCGCCGACAAGGGTCAATTTCCACATGTATGCGGATGATACCCAACTCTATCTATGCCTCCACCCTCAACTCCAGGACCACTGCTGAACTGACAGAATGTCTGTCAGACATCAAGTCCTGGATGAGAGCTAACTTTCTACTGTTGAACGTCAACAAGACAGAGGCCTTTCTGATTGACTCCCGTCAGCGACTCCACACCTCAGGCATTGACAGCATTACCATCCAAGGAGACACACTTCACCATACTTAGCTATTCCAGAATCTTGGCATCTTGTTTGACCCTCAACAATCCTTTCTACCCTACATCCATGCCATAACCTGCTCTGCCTTTCCCCACCTCCACAACATCACCCGTCTCCGCCACTGTATACACCATAGGCTGCTGAGACCCTCATACACGCATTCGTAACATCCAGGCTCGACTGCACAAACTTTCAGCTTGTCAGCCTCCCCAACTCATCCTTCCATAGTCTGCAGATCATCCAGAATTCTGCATTCTGTGTCCTCTCCTGCACTAGGCTACTCAATCCTATCACCCCCATCCTCGTCCAACTCCACTGGCTTCCCATCACACAGACGATACAGTTCAAGATCCTGGTCCTCACCTTCAAAGCCCTCCATGGCCTTGCTCCCCCTGCTTCTGTGACCTCCTAACCCCTTACCAACCGGCCCACTTCCACCGCTCAGCGGGCTCCGGCCTGCTTCACGTCCCCCGCCTCGCCTGTCCCACCATTGGTAGACGGACCTTCTGCCGCTCTGTCCACACCCTCTGGAACTCCATCCCATGGTCCCTCAACCTCCCTCCCTTGCCTCCTTCAAGACCCATCTTAAGACCCTCCTCTTCAACCGTGCCTTCGATCACCCTACTTCCCCCCCCAAACCTCCATCCTCCACGATCCTGTCCCCCAGCTCGGGTCCGAAACACTGACTGTCCAGTGCCTTGGGACGTCTTCCCGATGTGAAATACATTATACTAATGTAATCTTGTTGTTGTATGTTGCGTCCATTTGCAAAAATGAGTGCTTAGAATGTGTGGTGTCGCGCTTATACAGTTTACACTTGCATAAAACATAATTGTATGTCTATTTCGATGCAACACTTCAGTTTCTAAGAACCTGGCAGTGACTTGCTGAGATGTTTTCAGATAGACTAGGAATAGTTCTCGAGTCCATGTTACTCCACTACCTCTCAAAAATGATTTCCAGTCTCAGTTTAAAATAACACAAGGCTTTGCAAACTCTGATCCCTATTGTAAAATGTTGTCCTATTATTTCTCACCAAAGTGAATCTCATCCTGCTTTCTTTGCTTTTAGTGTGCCCTGGAGATGCGAGAGTTCCTTCAGCGAGAGCAGGCACACATACAGAGAATGCTGGAAGTGCAGGAAGAGCGAACCCACTTCAACAAGAAAGAACGAGCAAAAAAGGAGAAGGACGAAAGAAAGGACAGTGAGAGCAAAACATTTACAAGTTCTCAGAAAGTTCCCAAAGCTCAGAAAGCTCTGAGTCCGCATAAGCACTTAAACTCCTCCTCATCTGCTGCAGCCTCTGTTCCTCCACCAATGCATTCAAACAATCCGAAGGTGAGGAACTCGCCATCTGGAAATGCACAAAGGTAAGAGTCTCAGAAATGCTGTGAATGTAGAAATTTTCATATTGATAGCCGTGTCCTCTTGTAAGACGTGAACTGAATTAGTAGAACAAGAGGACATGGCCTGCGATTGAAGGAGAGTAAATTCAGAACTAATCTGTGTAAACACTACTTCAGTGAGCGAGTAGTATGGAACAGGCTCCCCAGGCAAAAGGTGGTAGCAGAAACTGTCGATTCTTTCAAGCACAAATTAGAAGGATTTCTGTTAGGAAATAATATCTCGGGATATAATATATGCGACTGCCAGGATGGTGGAAGGCGAACTGGATGGACCCTGGTCTTCTTTCGCTTAGCAAATTCTTATGTTCTTATGAACTCTGAACCCGATAAAGTCCCAAATTTATTGTTGTCCGACATCGAGTCCTGGACGAGAGACAACTTTCTTCAGCTCAACGTGCGAAAAACCGAGGCCCTCCTGATTGGCTCACGTCAGCGCCTCCTCACCTCAGGCGCTGACACCATCAGCATCCAAGGCTGCACTCTCCACCTCTCAAAGCCAGTCAGGAACCTCGGCGTTTTGTTCGACCCTGAGCTGTCCTTTCTCCCTCACATCCGCACCACAACTGGCACCGCCTTCCATCACCTCCGGAACATCGCCAGACTACGGCATTACCTCAACCCTCACGCTGCTGAAACCCTGGTCCACGCCTTTGTCACCTCAAGGCTGGACTATGGGAACTCTCTCCTCGCCGGCCTTCCCGCCACCTCCCTCCACAAGCTGCAGGTCATTCAGAACTCTGCAGCTCGTGTACTGTCCCGCACCAGGCTTCGAGACCACATCACTCCCACCCTCGCTCGCCTCCACTGGCTCCCCATCCCCCAGAGGATTGATTTCAAGATCCTCATCCTCACCTACAAGGCCATTCACGGCCTTGCTCCCTCCTACCTCTCCAACCTACTATCCCCCTACCTACCTGCCCGTACCCTCCGTTCCTCTGGCTCCGGTCTGCTCCACGTCCCCCGCCCCAACCGCCCTACCATCGGTGGTCGGGCCTTCAGCCTCTCAGCCCCCAGGCTCTGGAACTCCATCCCCCAGTGCCTTCGCCTTGCTTCCTCCCTTTCCTCCTTCAAGGCCGGTCTCAAAACCTTTCTCTTTGACCGTGCCTTCAGCTCCCCTCTCGACTCTCTTCCCCCTCCTCGCTCCCTCCCTTCCCTCCCCTCACCCTGACCATTTCCCCCCTCCTCGCTCCCTCCCTTCCCTCCCCTCACCATTTCCCCCCTGCTCGGGTCATGACCCAACTGTGTAGCGCCTTGGGACGTCCTCCTGACGTGAAAGGCGCTTTATAAATGGAATCTTGTTGTTGTTGTTGTTGGATTGCGCTGTTGAATGTCTGATCACCGACACAAATACAATAGAGCGCCAATTATCCACACTGACTGGGACCGTCCCGTTGTGGATAAGCAATTAGTGCAGGACCCTGGCCCTTTATTAACATGAAAGAACTTTGGACAAACCCAAGAATTGTTTGAGAAACTGAGATCGTATATACGATGATTCGCAATGGGTGATGCAAATAGCAACTCTTGCTGGGAACCGACAGTGCACCACACTGAGCCTTAAGAACTCCAGAAGGCAGAAGTAGGTTGTGTTGGAGCAGAGTTGCCATGCCTAGTTGACACCCACTCGGACTAGCTACCATTGAGTTTCGGTGCAAATTGCTGGATGCTGGAGCCCATTGTTGGACACAGGCTAAATTGATTTGCACCTCCTAAGTTAATTTATACTGCGGTGGTACAAATCTAAATCCTGCCAAATCAAGTGTGAATACTGCACCTCCCAGATCCAGCAACCAGGGTTTTGCAAGAAATAGTGTAATTTTTTTAATAGCAAACCCCTATCACTGTGCCCAGTATTTACTGAAGATTAGCACTTACTGCTTTTTGGAGAGGTGGGTTCTGTAAAAAAAGGACCAACATTCTTCCCAATTGTGTTCTGTGATCTGCATCACAAATTATTTGCAGTTTGACAGATAATGTATCAGTTTGTATTTGAATTCAGTTATATATTAAATCTAGACACTAATTGAATTGGAAAGGGTCTCCAAACATGTGCTCTACTGATCTGATAAAGACAGCCCTAACCATGAACCTGGGAATCAGTCCCTTATTATCACTTTCTGTGCAATCTGCATTTTTTCCACATTGTTAACTTTTTTAGTATTAATCCTGGAATGTAGTTTCCTGTCACAGTCATCACACCATACAAATCCTATCTGGTGAAACGTGTCTCCGGCAAACCTTTTGTGGAAGATATCTTTCATGCAGCATTCATATTGTAAGGGTATTACAGCCACATTAATTAGAGGTGGTTCTGCAATATGAGGGATGAATTTCACATACCAGCAGCAATAGGTGCGAACTCGCTCATGCACAGTTGTTTGGATAATGGATTTCCAATTTTCCCTGCAATCACTCAATCCAGCTGCAGCCACAAAAAAAACCTACCCTGTGCTGTTTATAGGACATTGATGTGTGCAACTGGCTGCCACATTTCACCCATAAAATACATAGTCAATCCACTTTACAATATATCCTATGAAGCGCATTGAGACATCTCAATGACGTGATAAGGTGTTATATCAAATGCATGGATTATTTGCTTCGACAAATAATAATAGAATTCAGATTGTCCTTCAACTAATGTAGTGTTATTGTGGTGACCATTCAGTCAGAATTCAAGGTTTGGCTGAATATATGGCTGAATATTTCTTTCCTGACCACATTTCATGATCAATAAACACCAGAGTATTTTATTTTTTCTTAATTGAATTGTAGGTTTCAACCAGAATATTATTAAAGAATCTAGTGTGGGGGTGTAACTACTCATACCTGATATATTGCATTACAAAGCAGTGTTTCAATCCTGGAATGTAATAAATTGGGAGAAATTAAGGCAATGGTATTGACTCATCTCACAAGACTGATGAGCTGATGAGGCTCTGGTATTAAATACTGCTACTTTCATCTGCTCACATAACAAGGGCGATATAGGGAACTCTGTTGTCCCAGTCTCCCTTCTGCCCTGAAAGCAAATTAGTCCCAATAATGAGCAGGCTGGTTTCAAAGCACTAGGTACATTAGGATAACCCCATCTCCCAGTAGAGTGCCACTAATCACTGTCAGAGCAGTTGGAAGAAGTAATATTTAACATGGAATGTAGGGAAAAGCAAAATAAATCCCTGCCTGGCAAATGTCTCAAGTATTATAGGTACTGTACTTAGGTTACTAACACTAATTGGGTGCCAAGGTGTACAGCCATTTGCTAATATCAAATCCTGTCTTTATGCATCTCTGACTTTTCCTCTTCCATCAAGTAAAACAAGGCAGCAATCAGTTCTGTTAGCAACCACTTATAAACTCTTGGAATCCCCATTTGTTAAATCATTGCTATTGATTCACACTCTATTCCAGAGAGAGAGAATCTTGATCCAACAGATCAATTGTTCAAATCCTTATAATTTTCACATAACAAGCTATCTGCACAATACACACTTTTGTACATGTGGTGTTTGATAGGAAGATAATTGAAGGTTAGCAATGGGGAAAAAGACATTATACCCATCAAGCCTACCCTTTAATAGATAATCATCGCTTTCCTGTAAAGGAAATTGTTCTTACCTTTATCGTGGGATTTTCCCTTTTTAAACATAAGAGGTCAAAGTTGCTACTTTGTACCCAAGGGAATTTCACCCTCATTTCTCAATCCCTTTTTCCAAAGACTCTCTGAAGTTATTTTGATGATCCAACAATATCTCACTTGCCAAAATATTCACAAGTTATTAACATAGGGGTGAAAAAGGTTCCACCCGACTCCTAGCTCCCTATTTTTATAGCTAGCAGTCCCTGGTATTTGAATATCTGTAAATTATTTGTGTGGATCATCTTTATCCATTCCTTCCATAATATTTTAAATTTAAATATAATTTTCTCTTTTTCTAAAATAGATAACCTCCAGGAAATCCTGGTTCAAATTCCTTGCTAGAACAAATGGTTCAGATTTGCCTTCTGAGGCCTGAACTTCCTCACAGTTTTAAAATGCGTGATTGTTCAGGATTTTAGAGGGTTTAAGGAAGAAAAACTGCAATTGTAAAGCACATTCTTTTTAGTCACAATAAACAAGCTCTTACGGTATGTATTTTACAATCAAGTAATAAATATAAAAATATTTAGACTTTGTATCTCTTTTTTTTCTCTCATGACTGCCTGCCCCCTTTCTCCTTGTGTCTCTCTGTCTCTTTCTCTCTTTTGTGCTCTCTCTCTCTCTAATTCTCTGCCTACCTCTAATAATTTTCTAAAATAATGAAAATCTTAAGTTTTAAGACAATGGTACAATTTTGGGCCTGTGGTGAATAATAAAGTGAATGAATGTTTTTTGATGTACCTCCAGGATATCTAAAAAAAAATTGTGGATCAACATTTTTGTTTATCTGGTTATTAAATGAGTATGCATAACCTCTTGGCCAACATTTCATCTTAATATGACAAGATATGGTAAAACAAAGATTAACAATCCCATTTCCCAACAGTTGGTTAGATGCATGTTATTGTACTGGTTGTTAATTAAATGAGTCCATTACATTGGTTAATTACATAATTAAGGACACATGTAATTCCCTCTGTACACATGTTTACTCATTGGTGCAAAATAGACCCAATTGTTGTGCTATTAAATGGTTCCATGCATGTTTATATATTTTTTCCTGGAAAATATTCATTGATCTTATCCAAAAGAGAGGCAGATATTTGCAGAATGTAAGCTTCGAGCTATCATTACTTGCAAAATAAATGCGTCTCGCACTTAAGTTAACTCATAGCTTCAGGAATACTCTTATGGTTGTAGAACTTTTGAGGTGTGTTAGATTCAGTGATGAACAGAAACATTTCCAGTAAAACCTGATGGGAAATAAACTAATGGGTCACCATTGAAAGTCCTCATACTGTGGAACCATGTGTGATTATTTGCTGGGAGGTGCCTTTTTAATATAAAAAATGTTGGGAGAACCTCTCTGGAAGAACAAAAACTACTTGTGAGTTTCCTTTTATCTTGTAGAAACTGTACTGTGATTACTTTCTTCAATCCTCATAACCTGAGGTGTCTTGTAAATAAGAGATAATAAACTCTGAGATAATGAAGCACTGAAAGAGTTGGTGATAAATTCAATCAACACATTTGCCTGTGTACTTTTCAAATTGGACTAAATTATCTGAAGTTAAGTCGTAACATATGACTTCTGTTAGTTATTGGGGCCACGTTTTGAGAGGTGTTATTTGTCAGCCTAACTCATTATTGCCTCTGAGTCGGTTCAAACCATACATTCGGACTTTGAACACCCAGTCTAGGTTGATACTCCAAGACAGTACGGGTTAGGTGTTCTGCTCATCATTTCCCCAGATAAAATTGATCATTTGCTTCATGGCTATTTGTAGGAGACTGCTGTGCGCTAATTGACTGTTAGGTTTGCCTTCAAAATAAACAGTGACTAAACTATGCAGTAAATCCTTTGAAGCACATTAAGATGTTTCGACGATGTCAAAATGCACTATATCAAATGTAAGAATTAATATATATGTATTATTAGAAATCAAACTGTTTAATATTAGTACTGTCAACTTTAAATTGTTTTATTTTTAAAACAATGATTTTTTTTACTTCAGTGTTGATATCATTTTGTCCTCAATTGTCTTCCCTGTGTTATTTAAAGACTTTGAGATGTTGTTGAGATAATGTTCTACAGACGCATTAGCAGATCTTGAAGTACCTTGAAGTACTTTGTCATTATTTATGTGTGAGCATAAACACTGTGTGTAACCACCATCTGGACTAGGTTGTTTCAGGAGCTGTACAATTCTCACACTACAGTATAAACTTAGGAGTCCTGTAGCTCAGTGGTTAGAGCACTCGCCTTGCAAACGAGAGACCTGGGTTCAATTCCAGGCAGGGCCAAACCTTGGGCAAGTTTCTTTACTTCACACGCCTCTGTTTACATAGCAATAATTAGGAACTCGTTTTTAGTCATTTGGCGGATTGTTTTCTGTGGGTGATAATTCCTCAAAAAAAGTTGGTCATTCAATCCATAACTGTTTGTGGGACACTGCTCTGTGCAATTGTCTGCCGGGTTTTGCCCACAAAATACACACACAATCCACTTTACAATATATTCTGTGATGCGCTTGAGACATCTCAACTAAGTGAAATGTCTCACTTAGTTGAGACATCTATATAATTATATTATATTATATTATTATATTAAGTGATAAGGCGCTATATCAAATGCAAAGATTATTATTATTATTAAACACACTGGACTTGCTATTCTGTGGCCTGAAATTCCCCAACATTCAATGGACCATTTTATTAAACAACCAACTGCAAAACCATCTCCTTAATCGCATTAATAAACAGTCATTTTGCAAATAGTGTAATGTGATGTTGAATAGGACTCTTTTAAGTAGCTCACTGGTGGACATTGTTATACAGCTGGTACCCTTCATTTCCAGGGCACTGTTGACCTCTAGACAAAAACTCAAATGGGGCTTTGGTGGTCCATAGGCATCTTTGATGTGCAAAATGAATTGAGTCCAATTTACAGTGGTTAGAAAGCTGTTTACTAAGCAACCTTATAACTAATATGATTCCCATATAAAAACAAACAACTGTTGATGCTCTAGGAGTTTGGACTTTGGATGATTTGTGCATTTGAATGTGGAGGTTGAACAATACCTAAGAAAAGCAGATAAAAGGTAATGCCTACAGGATATAATTCAGCAATCAACATTATTCAATGTTGATGGTTGTATTCCACAGATGATGATCCTTTGATTCCAGTATGATAGTATTTTGTACCATTCATACCAATTCCTTTAGCCTTCATGTTAGTTCATATTCTTCAGATTCCATCCAACTATTGTATTGTTGCAATGTGAAGTGGATTATAGATTCCAGTCTGCGAGGCTCTCTGCTACTCTGTAATTATAAGTAAGAATATTGGAAAATGCAGTCAATCATCTTCCACAGAGACCAAATACTTGGTTGTGAAGAGAATGACTGCGTTAGTGGAGTGCACCTAATTTCTTTTTTTCCATCTTGCAGAAGCAGCCTCGCCTCAAAGTCTGAAGGCCATTTAATTAGTGTTCTTAAGCATCGTGCAGATGGATTTTTAAACATGTTGGCTTTATTAGACTAGACTATAATCCAAGGACAATTCACCAAACTGCTTTGTATCTATCTGTCAGAAAATACATGTTAGGACTACCTAGCTATTTACTAATATAGCTCCTGAATCTTGATGCGTTCATATGCTGACCTAAGATTGAATTAAAATTCTTCACGGAAAGTGGACTGGCATTGTATGCTGCAAAGTCACATATCTTCTATATCCCGGTTTTCTCACACGTCTTTCCTATGGACTTTCATATGCATGCAGCCGGTCTCATAAAATTTGTTAAAAAATTTTGTTGCGAATAATTTGTTCATAGTGTAACCTTGTTCATGTATTGTTTTACAAGTACATACCTACTCGTTGAATTATTGACACAGTTATTCTTGGGTAGAGGAAATTTGTGTGTGTGTGTGGGCGTACATAGAAGTTGTCACATGGCTGTGTGAGTTTCTGATCAGCAGAGAGGTGGTGTTCTTGTGTAGCCAAGACGGGTCTTCCTAGCCTTTCATTGTATTCTGCTGCCTCAAAAGGGCTTTGTGTAGCATTCTGATCAATATTGTTGTCAGTGGGTTTGAATCTAGTGCTCTGTTTAGGTTAGGTGTTCCAACATTGCAGCTGGAGTTGCTGGGGTGTGGCTGCAATTTAGAAATGAAGCCTTTCAACTTAACCGTTTTGGTTTGAGTTTATCTGCAATATTAAAACTGTTGCTTCTGATGGTGCATATTGCTGGGTAGGAGGATAAACCCAGTAAGGGTGGCAAATATTTGAAATTGCTATATTTTAATAATGAGCAGTGAACACATACAGAGTTCATCTTGAACATATAACATGCAGGCAGAATAATAGTAATTTGGTTAATCTGTGTTTTTTCTCCTCAGCCCAAAAGCCAAGCAGGAGGCTACTGTACGGTCACCTTCCGTGATGTCTCCCTCTAGCACGTCTCAGCTAGACACCAAAATTCCCAATCCAGGGAAGCAGGGTAATAACAGTCAATCACAGGCCTCTCCCTGTGATTCAAAGCTCCTGAGCGGAAACCATGGCCCGAAAACTTCCCAAGGTTCAGGAGGGACCCTAAGCCTGAAAAATGGCCAAGGATTGGGGACAAGCAGTGCGATAAAAGGGAAGGGCAAGAGAGAAAGAAGCACTTCTGCTGACTCCTATGAACAAAGGGATGCTGGCACACCCAACAATGAGTCAGAAAACAAAGGTATGGTTTCTAGCAGAGGTATGTTTTATAGTAGAACTGAGCTACACAAACCAGGAAAGTCTTCCCACTGTAGAAAATCTTCTTGGTTTGTGTGGATCAGCACTGCTTTAGCCATGTACTAATCCATTGGAGGAATAGAGCAAAAATATTCTCTAAAGTTATTCTCATGTCTTTTGAACTTTTGCACCTCACATTTCCATGCAGGTTGCAGTTTCTAATGCTTTAAGAGAATTCAAATTTTACAGTCCACATTTTAGACAGAGAACATGAACGTAATGTACGGTAATGTTTCACTCATATTTCATCTCCTTAAAATATGGTTCTTCTTCTCTGATGTCTTTGAAAATAGACAGACCCATTATAACAATGGGATGGTTTGGTCCATAAACTCAGATCCATGTTATAATGGAATATGAAAAAATGGCTTCTGGGTCATCTGTCGCTACTGATGTCACTTCCGGCATGCTGTGCCATGTACAGGAATCACTGCTGTCACTTCCTGAGCAACATAATATCAGTGGTGCTTCCTGTAAGCGGAACACATGTGCACTATATGCAGGAAGCTAGCCAGTTGATGTCAGAAACCGAAAGTTTGCCTGCCGCACTTACGGTCCACAGTTCGATGGTGCAACTATGCTAAAGACTATTATAATGGGATCAGCCTATAAACAGCACTGAACAAGATGTATGTTGTGTTGTTAATTTGCCAGTTCACCTTAATTCAAATCCTATGAATTGTTCATCTGCTTACTGGAGTTGAATTGTTCATGCCCTTAGTAACCCTGGCTAGTGGTTCACAATCATTTTTAATTACCTAGAGAGTCTTGTTGTAAATCCATATCAAGCACATTCTCAAATCATTTCTGTTGTATATTGTCGTGTCCATTTGTGTATTCTCCTGAGAAATGTATTAAAAATGGAGGAATTCATTGGGCAGAGCAGAAGTGTTCAATGCCATATGGTTATTCACAAAACCATAGACTGTGTTTAACGCCAACTATATCCCTCCCCTCTTTAGTTCATTGCCATTTGATTATAGTTATTTACAATATGATTCATACTTTCACTTGCACAAATAATTTTGATATTGATTTTCCACCGTTCAAAATCAATTAGTAATAGGATTGATGTTCAGCAGTTTATGATGTGGTACTGCTTGGATATTTAAAACAAATTAATCTCCTTTATGAAGGGCAAAGATTTTTCAATGTACAGTATTTTTGTTGGACATCATAAACCTACTGGTGTTCTCTTTGACATGTAATAACATGCAGTAGTTAGTGGACAAGAACAGTAATCTGCCTCCCAACCAATCCTCAAACCTTACTGTGAGTCTCTGTGTCCTCTTTACAAGAGTCCCAGTACCCTAGACTCTCATGCTGCTTTTGTTTTTTGTATATAAAAAGCATAAGTTTATTGTCAAATATGTGTGTTGCTTACACCCTGTATAAATCCCTTTCACCAATCTCTGTGTGAAGAAGTTCTTCCTAAATTCCCCTTTAAATCTATTACAATATCTCTTGTATTTATGTCTCCTCGTTTTGGATTTACCAACAAGTGGAAACAACATATTGCCCACCTTATCAAACCTTTCATAATCTTAAATACTTATTGGAGAGGCAGAACAAGAAGTTAGAATATGTAGAAAAGTGTAAATCTAAATTTAAAATGAGGGTGAAACAGGATAAAGTAAAAAAAAGGAGGAATTTTTTGTTCTAAAATGCTAATGCTCATTCTCTTCTATTCTGCCCTTATAATCAGTGATTGTTTTGGTCTTTGCTTCCACAACTTTTGAAGTCTTCCTGTGTTTTACATATGCCAGTAGGTAGCAATTGAAGGCATTGTTGGTTATCATAGGTTACAGTCCAGAGGTTCCTGCTAATCTTGGTCCTAATGATACCAAGTTATATGACATATGAAAGAAAAATCATCGGCCTTTTAGCTAAGATCAAGTGCACTGTCATATCTGTTCTTATCAGTTACTGCTTGTGATATACGTCTGCCTGAAAGATTTTTTGAGATTTGCTTGTGTGCACCTGGCCACAACCAAATCTCCCCATAATTTATTATGGTAGGATGAGCTCATGGCAGGAGTTGTGCCTTCGGATCACCGTTGACTGGGATCAGTATTACAGGACTGCAGATTTGAGAAATTTGATCTGCCTTCACAAAGGGATACTGGAATACAGAGCTAGAATGCTTGGTAACTGGGCTCAGGCCAGGCTTGCCTGGTCGAAGACGTGATCGGGTCACCTGACTTGCTCGGGTGGTTGCGATGACAGGTATCAGGTCTGCATCAATCTTTGACAACTTGGGACCTAGAGAGTTTGGGGAAAGAAAAGGTTTGTCTGTGGGGCACCCCTTGTTCCATTGAGGAATGAGTTTCAGTCTAATTTGGCTGACTGGGGCTTAACCTTGCTCACCCAAAAAGGACATCTGAAAGAAAAAATATAGAGTACAAGTTCAGAAGTTTCTAACATGGGTAAGTCTTGATTTATTATTTAATTCAGATGGAGGAAGCAGAAGCAAGCGTCTGTGTGTAGCAGAAAGACGTCAGCCATACAGTGGGGCTGAATGGTGCTCAGGGACTGAGAGTGATGAAGAGGAATCAGCCTTCTTCAGTGAGTATATACTTTTTACATGGACTATAACTGGGATTTGTATATATTGAGAACCGCACCCTAATGTTCAATGTGTTCATTGAGCAGATGTGCCCTGCCAAATCATTTTTCAGAGGTACAGTCCCTGAGAAATGCCTTGCACTGAAGTGCAGAGGGAAGTATTGATCATAGTAGTAATATCATGGGGTGGAAATGCAATGCAATATGATAATTTTCACATTAATGAAATTGCATTCCTGCAAGCTAATAATAATTGACTGATCAGAAGTAAAGCCTCCTACTCCCTGATTTTAGCACAGTGATTGATTCCAAAGCATTCAAGGCCATTATTGCAGAACATGGCACCTCAGAGCCATCTCATGATCGTTATTTGTTTCAGAAACAATTGTTTTTTTTAATATTGTATATGATTGTTTTATAGAGGCTAATGAATATCTGCGATAGATCCAAAGTTCCTATTCGTGGCTACTGGAGACTTCCAGGCCGGCTGTTGTGCCAAAGTTGGGGAATGGTTTCACACTGAGGCCAATTGATAGTTCTCAAGTGTTTAACCGCAATTCTAGTCAGTGATAATCATCACCTGCGCTAATTAGCACTTTTTTGTGTTTCCACCCCCTACCCATCTGTTTCTCAGCCAATCTTATGAGGAAGTGAATCATATAGTAATCAGTAGGTTCCAACAGATGCAAACAATTGCACTGAGCTGTATTAATACAACTCTGCTACCTGTATCTCGGGACAAAATGTAACTTGTTAGTGTAACTCTAACCTTTTCCCCCTGAAAGGTTTATTTTGCCTTCTTTTTACTAGGTTTGAATATTTGCTTTTCAAAAATGCCATTTTCAATTGACTTCTATATTCTATGTTGTTATTAACAGACACATTAAGCATTGTCTGTAAATATTTCCAGAAAAGTTAGGGATAAACAATGTTATATGCTAGAGCGATTTACTGCAGCAGTTCTTTTTTTGACAGCTGATCCCCAACAATTTTGCAGATGACTTTGAATGTTTTTCCTTAATCCGTGGAGGCAACAATGATGGATCTGTGTATACTTTGAAGTGGCTTGTAATTGTCCTACACACATGTGTTTGCTGGCATTTGTCAGTTAGCCCAGAGGTGTCAGTTAGCTCATTAAACTGATATATTCTGACATATTCGGGGAATACATTATCACTCGAAACTTGCAACAATTATGTCTCAGTTATCAAACCCTCCTTATGGATGTCATCTGATATCCACTGCTCTGAGTGCCGGTATTAGAGCAGCTTCTCTATACATTGTTTCCCAAGACACCTGCTGCTGGCAAAAGCAGTGAATAAAACTCTGTAGTAATGTTAAAGATACTCAAGGTATATCAAGGAAATTAAATCTTTAATGTAGTTAGGTGACTGTTACAAACTGAGCTTTGTTTTTTGGGTTCATTGCATGAACCCATTAATGAGATGGGAACTTTGTGATCCCAGGTATACGTCATTCTCTATACTATACAGCTCAAATAATCACAAGGGAACAAAATTGTTTGGATGAACAAGTCCCTTCGGGCCATCTGATCACATCCCTCCAGAATACTCATCCTTTCAATATGTCATCAAGCTGTTTTTTCTGTAAATGAGTCCAGTGGCCTGGCCTCAACCCACCTTATTGGCAACCTGTTACACTCATTAATTACCACCTGGGTAAAAAAAACTCTGCAAATCAGAGTTGTTGACTCTCTTTCATAGAATCATAGGATTATACAACACAGAAGGAGGCCATTCGGCCCATCGTGTCTGTGCTAGCTCTTTGAAAAAAGCTATCCATTTCAATCCCACTAACCCGCACTCTCCACATTGCCCTGCAAACTTGTTTTCCTTTCATGTGTGAAGACAGCAGGGTCTAAAATACAATATTTGTAAACCAAATTCATTGCTTTCATTGGAACTTGCAGTTGGCAAATATGGCGAATATTAAACAGTACGTATTACAGGGAACAAGTTTTCATGAAGGTCACTGGGAACATCTAGTGGTCAGAAGCCATTAATGCAGTATTTGTCACCTTTCTGGGAAGAAACATTTGCTCAGCTCTTACTTTTCAATTTCTCATTGGTGACGTGGAGTTTAGTATTTTTCCAGAGTATGTTCCCAAAGTGCAGGGCTAACTGAACACTGATGCAGTCCATATCTTGAACAGTTATTTGAAATGTAAGTCCAAATAAATTTTCCTACACATTTTTTTAGGTGATGCACCCCCAAGGTTTAGAGGGATTTTAAGGAGGCCAAACGATGAGGGAATATCTTATCCTGTTGGTTTGCAAATGCATACTTGAGCAACCTTGGAATAAAAGGAATTATGCAACATCAGGGGCCAACGAGGCTGAAGGTCCAGTCGAAACAGGATGTGATGTGAATATCATCTTCCTATCCTGTTGAAGGTCTGTCTCGTTCACCTATTTGTGTGTGGGTTTGTGTTGCAGACTGTAACTCTACAGACAGTGTGAAGTCCCAGGAACAGCTGCCACCGCACTCCCTTCCTTCTTCCAATACAGGAATCAGCAGGTCTTCCACACCCTCCCACAATTCTGCTGGCGGACAAAACCTGATGCCAGAAGCCAGCACCGCTCAAAAGACCACTTCCAAGGTTATATATGTCTTCTCTACAGAAATGGCCAACAAGTAAGTGAACTAACACACATTTTGTGCACTTAGAGATGTTTGAGTACTCAAGCTTAGATATTTGTGAGCGGAGATGTAATAAAATATTTGTAAGCACGAGACTGCTGCAAATTATTTGCTAGATTGGTGTCTGAGTTCTTGTCTCTAACGTGCAGGGTCTCCAAACCCCAGTGGCAATCATTGCTTTTGTCAAATTATTTTAGCATTACATTGCTGCAATAATAATAATTTGGTCACTCAATCCACGACTGTTTGTGGGACACTGCTGTGCGAAATTGGCTGCCGTGTTTTGCCCACAAAATATACCATCAATTCGCGTTACACTATATTCTGTGAAGCATTTTGAGACGTCCCAAAGATGTACTAAGGCATTATATCAAATGCAAGGATTATTATTATTACTTGCTGCTTAGGTTGGAGCACTCGGTTCTCAGGACATCTCTGGCTTACTGTGAGCTTAAAACAATTATGGGTATATCATGCAATTGAAAAATTTAGTTTCAAACTTCTATTCAGCCACTGCATTTCTTTCAACAGTGGTTGTCCTGGAAACCATCCGAGTGGTTGACCGTTGGTCTTTAAGCAATTTGGCCTTGTACATACAAGAGATAAACAGAGAACAACTGAGAATCTAAAACAAAAATAAAGCAAAAAAAATGAAGGTTGCCCCAGAAATTTTAGTCTTAGGAATAAGCAGGGAGGGGCTCCAAAATTGGAAACAGCTTGGGCTGAGAGGTAATACCTTATCACTCTTGCGACCTCACTTCACAATGGATCTCAATTTTCCATGGTTAAGGATTACCTCTATAAAGTTTGCTAAGGCCCCATTGTAGGTGAGGTTTTTCTTTCTCTTTCAGATATTAATTGACATGCTATGGATTTCCTGCATTTTTTTGTTTTGTTATTCTAACCTTGTACAGTAATGTTGTTTGACAGACTGAGTGCGGGCTGCTGCTGTGTTAGGCATATTCTGTTCCTAGTGCCCCCTTTCTGGCCACTGGAGGCGAACATGAGTAGATGTTGTTGAGTTTAACGACACTGAGCTGCAGGTGGTTTGTCCTACTAAGCATGTCTATATCAAAAGGAACCCAGCGCATGGTCTTGCCATAACACCATACGCTTTCAGTTTACACTTGTGATTTTCTTCTCCATCTTCTTTTGGATGAGATGTCAAACTGAGGTCCTGTCTGCCTGTTCAGTAAAGATTTTATGGTACTTTTTGAAAATCGAGGGAGTTTTTTCTGATGCTGACAGGTTTGTGGGCAAACACGGCAGACAACTTTTACACAGCAGCTAATTTTCACACAGCTAATTTTCACACAGCAATGTCCCTCCCTCAAACACCCATTACCAATGAATGACCAATTTTATGTGGGTGATTGTCGGCCAGTACACCGGGAGAAGCTCCCTTCTGTTTCCAAGTAGTGCCATGAGATTTTAACATCCACTTAAACAGGCAGATGTGGTTTAATATCTCAACTGAAAGACGGTATGCCCAACAATGCACTGTATTGGAGCCCAACCTAGATTGTGAGATCAAAGTCCTGACATAGGGTATGAACATACAAGATTGTGACTCAGAGGTGAGTGCTTCCAACTGAGCCAGACTGACGCCTAACAAAGGAGTGAATGAGTGTTTTGTTTTTGTTGGGGGTGAGATAGTGCTAAAGGCAGGTGATGTTGTAGAGATGGTCAAGATGGTGATGTTCTTAGAGATGGAAGAAAGTCAGATACTGGATGAAACATTAGGAGAGTTGAGGATCAAACAAAACACTGAGGTTTCACACAAGCTCCATGAGTTGGAGGAAGCAACAAGGAAAGTCGATATGGCAGTGAAGAGGCCCCAATGGAAGCCGAGCGGAACAATCTTGGTTTTGCAATGTTGAGTTGAAAGTTATAGCTCATCCAAACAATTGCTTATTTCAGCTTTAGTAATAGTATGGCAACAAATGTGCAAACGTGCAATTGTAAAGATTTGCTACATTAGTGCATACAACAACAGCAACAAAATTACATGTGTAGAGCGCCTTTACGTCGGGAGGACGTCCCAAAGCGCTGAACAGTCAGGTGTCGGGGCCCGAGCATGGAGGAGGAGTGGTGTAGGGGTGAGGAAAGGCAGAGAGGTGGAAGGGAGACCAAAGGCACGGTCAAAGAGAAAGGTCTTGAGACCGGCTTTGAAGGAGGCAAGGGAAGAGGCGAAGGGACCGTGGGATGGAGTTTCAGAACGTGGGGCAGAGAGGCTGAAAGCCTGGCCACCGATGATAAGGTGGGTCGGGTAGGAGACATGGAGCAGGCCAGAGCCTGCTGAACAGAGGGAGCGTGCAGGTTGGTAGGGAGTCAGCAGGTCAGAGAGGTAGGATGGCCTTAAAGGTGAGGATGAGGATCTTGAACTCGATCCTCTGGGTGAGTACATGAGTAAAGCACAAAGTGACATCTTTGGCAATCCAATGATCCAGAAATTGATCATTTAGTTTCCAATGCAAATAATAATAATTGCCATCTTCCAAACACTAGGTCTCTACCGATGTCACTTTCTGCCTCTGTAATACAACGAAAACGAAAAGTAAGGTCACGTCAGCAAACTGGAAGCTGGCCATTTTTCTTTTAGTGAGCCAGCTGGATGCACACACGGACAACGAAACCAGCTATCATGCCTCGCAATAGTAGGGGTTGGGAGATTGTGAATCATTGCATTCTATAACTGGGTTCCACTATAGTACCCAACTGCTATGAAAATTGGTGGATGCAATTATACTGATAAGAATAATACAATGATCTAATCTGTATTTCAGCGCCTTGGGACGTCCTCCCGACGTGAAAGGCTCTCTGTAAATGGAATCTTGTTGTTGTTGCTGCTGCATAAATTAATCCATCTTCCTTCTTCCGCCCTCACCCCCACAATTTACCAGCAACCAGCCCAATACTGTCTGAGTTATTCACCTTTTTAATACATATTTGATGTCCATTCCAGTGGTAATCTTTATAAATTATTTTTGTTGTCAGACTAGCTGTGAGTATACAATTTGTCTCTTTCTTTTAAACCAGAGCTGCTGAAGCTGTCTTGAAGGGACAAGCAGAGTCGATTCTTGCCTTCCATATGCAGAACATTTCCAACACAAAGACAGAAAAAGGCAGTCCACTACTGGTAAGCAATGTTTCTCTTGTTGCCTAGTTTTTACATAGAATTACATTGACTGTATAGCACCACAACAGGCCATTCGAATCTACTCCTCCGTGCCAGAGGAGCCTCCTGTTTATCCCTTCTCCCTATCCCCTCCCAAAGGCCCTTGTATTCCCTTCTCCCTCACTTGTGCATGTTTTAGAGAATAGCATAAGACAAGCTCACAGGAAGAGTTTAGTTCAGAGATTAAAAGGGAGAAAACACTGCAGATGCTGAGAATTTTAAATGAAAACAGAAATTCCAAGTGAAATAACATCAGAACTTGAGAATATTGTGATATAATTTGAGACATTTCCGATCACGTTCCTTGTGTTAATGCAAGGAATCTGCCTTTAACTTTACACTGGTGTTCAAGCGCTATATAAATGAAAATTGTATTGCATTGTCCATTGACTTATCGGTGGTCTTAGTTCACCAAGCTGCTCCCAAAGAAATTCCTTCCCCTTACCAACTCCCCACCTCCATCTTTCAAGGACTCCTATTACTGATACTTTTTGTGAAATCAGCATAATAATAATAATAATAATCCTTGCATTTGATATAGCGCTTTTCACGTCGGGAGGACGTCCCAAAGTGCTTCACAGAGCACACTGTAAAGTGAATTGACTGTATATAATTTTTGTGGGCGAACGCGGCAGCCAATTGCGCACAGCAATGTCCCACAAACAGTCGGAGATTGAAAATGACCAATTTATTATTGTTTTTGATTTTGGAGGGATTATTATTAGGCGTGTGGAGTAAGGAAACTTGCCCAAGGTTTCGCCCTGCCTGGAATTGAACTCAGGTCTCTCGCTTGCAAAGCGAGTGCTCTAACCACTGAGCTACAGGACGCATATTTGCGTCCCACTCTGTTCTAATCCTTAAAAGGATAAATACACAGATAGAATTGTGTAAAGAAAGGGTGGGAGATGGGGAAACAGAATGAACAATGAATGAACTGGAGGAATGAATGAAAATAACATTTTAATTTCTTGAAGTTCAATGGAACAATAGGGTGAAATTTGTTAAGATTCATAATGAATTCAGTGATATAATTAGCATTATCAAACAAATGTAGTTCCATTCCATTCCTAAAGCATCACCAGGTATTAAACACACCTCCGATTTCTGGAGAATGGCTTCTCTTGTTCAGTACTGCATTGTCGCATCTTGCTTCATAAACAGTGCCCTTACCATATGTTTGAGTGATTTCACTGAGATGTAAGGAAAATGTCCAATGCTCTAGTCTTTACACCAGGGCACATTTGCATTTTCTATGCCTATATTCCAAAAGTATTGAATCAATTGATTTTAGCACATGAGGTGGTCTGTAGATTTCATTTTTTCCCTTTGGTGTACAGTTGATGGATGCCCTGAGACTAAAGCTTGAAACTAATACCATTACTTTCAGACTTTTCTCTTCAGTTTGACTTTAGTTTTAAGAGTTAGTGGTGGGGGTGAGGGGATTTCAAACCAATTATTACCAAACCCAAGAGCATTTTCCAGCTGGACAAGAAGGGTTTGTACAGTAAAGTTCATAGGATACCAGTGGAACAGCGTGCTGGATTATGGAGGGCAAACGAGTGGTTTTAACCATGATTACACTCCATTGTTTGGAGGAGAAGAGAGGAGTGGGTGAGATGTTCTTGTGGGACCTCATAATAGTCAGAGACCAGGCAGAGAAGTTTGTGGGAGGGGAAGCAGAGAGAATTTTAAATAAACTTTGGAGGCAAAAATATACCCACCCATGCATTCAGATATTTATGCCCATCACAGTTTTCTGGTGATTATTTTTTTATAAATAAGCCAGGTGCACCTACATGGAGTCCTGTAGCTTAGTGTTTAGAACACTCGCCTCAACAAGCAAGAGGACCTGGGTTCGATTCCTGACAGGGCAAAATGTGGGCAAGTTTCCTTACTCTACACACCTCTGTTTACCTAGCAGTAAGTAGGAACCAGGTTGTTAGTCGATTGGCAGATTGCTTTTCCGGGGGTAATTATTTCCTTCAAAAAATAAAATAATAATATAGTACTAACTTGGTCACTCAATCCACGACTGTTTGTGGTTCATTGCGGTGTGCAATTGGCTGCCACGTTTCACCCACATACAGTCAATTCACTTCACAGTATATTCTGTGAAGTGCTTTGAGATGTTTCGAAGACTTGATGAGGAGCTATATCAAATGCAAGGCTTATTATTATCTTGATTCCATTTAAAACACTTCTTTCACCCTGTCTGATTTTGCTTTAAGAGGTTCCTCTGTTTCCGAGTTAGCTGGCAGTGGCAGTGTGTACCTCTGTCAGAAAGTGCTGCTGCTGTCACGGGGACAGTGTGTTTCTTTTGTTGCGGCTGTTAATGTGGACGTGGATCAGTGCTGTTTCAGACTTGCATCTCACACTAGTCAACGGTGCTTCTGAGACCCTAAACTCCATTTAGCTTCTGCTTTTAAGTCTGGTAAATTTCAGTCTTAATTTGGAAGTCTTTATTCGACCTGCAGAAGGAAATCCACTACAAGATTAAAAATTTTAACAATTCTGCACAATATATTTTAAGACCATGATCTAACCCTAATAACATGAAAATTTTCTGGCCTCTCATTGCATAGTCACGAGTCTTGAAATGTGGTTTAATACCACTGACTGTACTCTCCCTTCTGTTCATTTCTCCCCGGTCAAACTCAATTTGACAAGGAGATAGAACTAAAATATATTTGAATAAACTTGCATTCTTATGGCGGAGGTGATTGGAATATCCTAATCTGCTCCCCATTTGACCTTGACGCTATGCTTTATCTGTCTTATCTGTCTGGAATAGAACTGCTCATTATAACCTCTCAGCTTGTATTGAAGAAAGCTGCTACCTGCTGTGACCCTCTTTTGTGTCCTGCCTTTTTTTATTAATATTACCAACCTAGTTTCCTTAGTGGCCTTGAAGCCAGTTGACCAGACAGCTGAGTTGCAAATTGTGGAGCTGCAGTAGCCCTTTGGTGTATGGGACAATCTGTGCTATTAAACTGAGGCATTAAAACCTGCTGCTTATCTTTCGGAAACAGAACGATTTTCTCGTTTCAAGCAATCTGAATAATTTGATATTCCAGAATTTCCCCATATTTACAGTCACATGATGTTATTTTTATTATTTAAGTGGCTAGCCACCATCTCGTTTGACCAACATACATCTCCTTGTCATTTTTGTCCATTAATTCAGGAAGCCAGACTTCTTGTGGTGGAGGTTTCCTGGCTTCTATTTGACGCCATACCTGGTTAATGTTCAGTTATTTCATGGAATATAGGCACAGGAATGTGGGACTGGTAAGTAGAAACAAGCCTGGTACTATTTTTAGTTTTCAGTCTTTTATTGACTTGCTTAGGCATTTGATTCCCTTTTATTCCCCATTATTTAATCCCTTTTGGCTCAGAAGTGTCAGACATGAAATCAGTGTGCTCAGATCTTTGCCCCGTATTCTTGATGAGCGCATTGCCTGAAGATTTGTAGGTACATGATGGAGACTCATCTGTTCTCTTTGACCGTGCCTTCAGCTCCCCTCTCGACTCTCTTCCTCCTCCTCGCTCCCTCCCTTCCCTCCCCTCACCCTGACCATTTCCCCCCTCCTCTCTCCCTCCCTTCCCTCCCCGCACCCTGACCATTTCCCCCCTGCTCGGGTCATGACCCAACTGTGCAGCGCCTTGGGACATCCTCCTGACGTGAAAGGCGCTCTATAAATGGAATCTTGTTGTTGTTGTTGTTGTTAATTGTTAGTTCATCTTCTACTTCTCTGTGGGGGAAGTCTGCCAACTGCTCAATGTTGTGTCTCTGATTGCAGGACTTAAGATTGTATTCTCAATGTCAAGATTGAAGGGCTCCAACCTGGGTCAATATGGACTGTGGTACTGCATTGGCCCTAACCCTTTCATTTAAAACATTTTATCGAACAAATTCTCAGTTCAGTGAAGACATTCTGGCATATGCATAAGGGGATTTATTTTGCTGTGAATAGCCATGACTGTTTGTGGGACTCTGCTGTGTGCAATTGGCTGCCACGTTTTGCCCACAAAATTGCAGTCAATTCACTTTACAGTATAGTCTGTGAAGCGCTTTGAGATGTATTGAAGACATGATAAGGCACTATATCAAATTCAAGGATTATTATTATTAAATTAAGTTCAACCAGGCTGTAGAATGAAATATATTGTGGTTCAATTTTATTAACAAGAATGAATTTTCTTTGCACTTTGCAGGGAGGTTGGGGTAAAATCTTTGGGGAAGATTTGAAATGATCTGAATTTTCGTTGCAACTGTGATGTAGTATCGTCTCCCAGATAAATATCTTCTAATTTTAATGTCAAAGACATTAAAGTAAAGTAATCAAAGTAATTCTAATGTCAATACCGAAGTCTGCTGTCTAGCTATTACAGCGCCAGTGCATCTATAGATTTCAGTTATTGCATTAAATCTTGAGATATCTGCACGACAGAATTTTTATTATTATCTTTAATTTATCTGAAGACTTATAACCATTTGTGCCAAATAATTTCTTTAGATGCCAAAAAAGATAATGTGGGAATCACCTTAATACAATCACTAAAATTCAATGTATTAAAATTCTGGACCTTCTCCAGCTCAGGTTAATGGCAATATTTATTTGCCGAATTTTCTGAACTCCCAATAAACTTTACTGTGAACCGGTGGTGGATAATGGATTTGTTTATTGTTCTAGAATAAATAGATTATTTATTGATCAGGGGCCTGACTTGTGATTAATAACCTTTATGGTTTAAACTGCACCCTGTATAATAATGGTAAACGATGGTTCACCCTGAACCTATCATGTATATTGCTGAGCATTGAAGATGAGGCCTCATTTGAGCAAGAGTAGTTAGATCTAAAAGAATCTACTAAGGTAGATTTTGGTAATTAATTTCTAAATTTTGGTAATTAATTTTTAGATTTTGGTAATTAATTTTTTAAATGCCAAACGAGACAGCCACACATTGTACTGCAGCAGTCCCATATTGAAAGCCAGCTACTTGCCAAGGGAGGCGTGTGTTTGATGTGAAAATCAGTCCCCAAAACTTGAATTCAAATTAAATCACTGTAGATCCTGGCAGTTGTGAAATCAATTGACAGTAAGGTGTACCCAACCTTTGATCACCTGAATGGTATGCCAATGTTATTTTTTACAGTATAGTCTAACGTCTACTGTTTGCATGCCAAAAGATTGTTTGCCCCTAGCTTCTTCAATATACTAGAATCAGTCAGTTCAAGTTGTCAGGCACTAAGTGAAAAACAACAACAAATTACATTTGTAAAGCACGAATTCAACAGAGAGATTGCATGTAGTCACAAAGAAGTAGCACAAATCGACTACGTCTGCCTTAGTTGACTTACATTATAAATTAAATGTATTTGCTGTGATACATTTAATTTGATGGTGCACCCTTTCCCCTCTGCTTGAGTAAATTTATTCTGCTTTCAAGTTCTAATACCTCTTTAGGTAAACTTGCTCAGACCAATGTCCCATGATGTTGAATGAGCTCGGGCTCAGCACTAAGAGTGACACAAGAACAAGGCCAAACTTTCACTAAACACATATTACCAGAACCTAAGTACTTTCTTTTTGGAGTCCATCATTTTCTGCCCCTCTTCAATCTCGATGGACTAACATCTTGAGCAATCTTAGGTCCAAGGATTGTAATCCATTCTCACAGGTTGAGATTCAGCTTATTCAGTTAACCCAATCCTTTCAAGAGTTATGATTTCACGTTTTCACTTGTGCATTTAACACTGTTAAATCCGATAACTTTTGTTTCATCTTGTCATTAAAATAATAATAATAATCCTTGCATTTGACATAGTGCCTTTCACGTCGGGAGGACGTCCCAAAGCGCTTCACAGAACACACTGTAAAGTGAATTGACTGTATATTTGTGGGCGAACGCGGCAGCCAATTGCTCACAGCAATGTCCCACAAACAGTCGCAGATTGAAAATGACCAATTTTTTATTATTGCTTTTGGTTTTGGAGGGATTATTATTAGGCGTGTGGAGTAAGGAAACTTGCCCAAGGTTTCCCCCTGCCTGGAATTGAACTCAGGTCTCTCGCTTGCAAAGCGAGTGCTCTAACCACTGAGCTACAGGACTTCATTCACCATTAAGTAGAAGAAGTAGAGGCTTAGTTCACTATATCCAAATACATTTAATTTTGCTAAGGACATATTAGCTGGTGAAATTGTTATGTGCAAAGAACCATGAAAAATGACTAGACTTTGATTTTGTTCCCCATAATCCTTAACAACATGATTAGTACATGGTCCCTACCTACACCCCAGTCTCACATCAAAGATGCAAACAGACATGGGCCTTAGCCAATTAATCCAAAATGTATTTATTAATAGACAAAACTATTTAACTATTTAACATACAGCTAGAAACAAATAATAATAATAATCCTTGTATTTGATATAGTACATTATCATGTCCTCGACATGCCTCAAAAGTGCTTCACAGAATACACTGTAAAGTGAATTGATTGTATATTTGTGCATAGCAGTGTCCCACAAACAGTCATGGATTGAAGTGACCAATTTATTTATTATTATTTTTATTTATTTTTTGCAATGAACTAGTTAAGTAAAACAAGTTTTCAAAAGATTCTTACAAAATAAAGCATAAACCTGATGAGGTATGAAGGTTTTATAAGTAGAAAGTCTCAGATTTTATGATGAATTCTCTAAAGGGAGCACTTGTATTCTAGGAAGCACTGGTCTACTGAAAAGAAAACAAACATTCCAACTGAAGATCGAAGGGAAATATGTTCTTGTATCTATGAATACCTCTTTAATTTTGGATCCCATCATAGTGAATGCCAAACATGTATTCAAGCATCAATCAGATAGCCATGATATCAGCTCGAAACTAATTTCTTTTTTATGATTCAAAAAAAATTTAATTACAAAATATCTGAAGTCCCCTGCATATAGAAGAATGAAGATGAATTGATTCTAAGTTAATTTGTTCAATTGAATGATTGTATCCTTGAATGACAGTGCATAACATATTAAAAACATTGAAATTACTTGTCATTGGATCCCAGACTGCAGTATCTGGTTGCATAATCAAAGTCTTTCATTACTCCTTTGCATGCACAAATACTTAATATTTGCAAGGAGCTCAAACACTTGTAAACTACTCAAGGTGGGAGCAATCTGAAGTGATGAATTTATTACATGAGCAGGATACTGACATTATATAAAGCATATCTGCTAAAGTGTGTTCTTTCTCAACCTCCCTCTCCAAGTCTGCTTGTATTAGTGTTCTAAGTAGGCCCAAAATTATACATAGTCATAGACTGTGAAACCATTTTGTCTTAAGGTTTGAGACCACACAGAATTGTGGAAAAATTTTCAATGCAATTTAATCAAATCCATTTTCTTAATTTGAGAATTAGCTTTTTTGAAGAACTGCAAAAAATAGCTTCCAAATGAAACCGTGTGTTTGATACTCACTTTAAGATTCAACAATTCTGCGTGATCTTAAATTTGGAGATGAAATGATTTTATAGGCTAAGATTATGAAGAATGTTATGCCTTATACTGGTGTATTTCAAATGGAACTATAATTGTAGATTATTTGCTTTAGATATGTCTTTTGTCTCTGCTAACTTCTGCAAACGCCATTTTACAGCAAAACAACCAAGTACCGGCTCATCGAATTTCTTCACAAAACCTTCAGCAATCATCTCCATCACAGCAGAAGCAAGAGCAAAACCATCAACAGGCATCAAAGATGCAGCAGAACCAATCCCAGCAAGGTCAAGGATCCAAACAAGTTGGTCAGGAGAATGCAGGCATAGACAATAAAGTACATTCTGACGGTAGTCCCCAAAGCTCTGCTGCATTATCTGTTGATGATGCGTGTAGAAGCTCTGCACCTACAAACCAATCATCGACCCCAGTAACGCAAAATGCTTATCCAGCAGCTAGCAGTGCAACAGCTGAAACAAAGAGCGAGTCAAAAGGTGCAACACAACCACCAACTGTAGATGGCATCCTGAATATGGGAGAAAATGCAGAGGGTCTGTCTCAGGAACAATTGGAGCACAGAGAGCGTTCACTGCAGACACTGCGCGACATTCAAAGAATGCTGTTTCCTGAAAATGACAGTTCAGCCGGTCCAAATAGTTGCCCCCAACAGAACCCTGGGTCCCTGGATGCCTCTTCTAAAAAGCCTGAAGGACCTCTGCAGGCAATGATTTCACAGTCGCAAAGTATAGGTAAGCCACCTGGTTCTCGGCCAGATGTTCAACCATTTGGGCCACCAGGTCATCGAGATCTGCCTTTCCCACCTGATGAAATGGGGGCCCCGCAGAATGTTATGAACTCACAGCCAGGACAAGAGCACATGGAGCACATGACGCCAGAGCAGCTTGCGTGGTTAAAGCTACAGCAGGAGTTTTATGAGGAGAAACGGAGAAAACAAGAGCAGGCTGTGCAGCACAGAACTGTTCAGGATATAATGATGCATCAGCATGGTCCAAGAGGTATGATTAGAGGGCCACCACCACCTTATCAAATGAACCCAGGAGAGGGATGGGGACCTGGAGGGCCAGAACCTTTTGAAGGAATGAACCCTCCCAATTCTATGCATCCGAGAGGCATGGCACCCCATCCAGGGGTTCCAGGAAACCCGATGCAGAGAATGCCTGGCTTTACAGCAATGTTGAATCCAGATATGGACACTCCTGGTGGTCCAAATCCAGTTCCAAGACCTGGTATTCCAGGTGTTAACTGGCCAGATGATATGCCAAAAATGCCAGATGGTAGAAATTTTCCACATGGACAAGGCCTCTTCTGTGGGCCAGGCCGAGGAGAGAGATTCCCAAACCCTCAGAACATGCAAGACGAACTCTTCCAGCATCAGTTAGCTGAGAAACAGCTAAGAATGTCTCCTGGAATGGGGATGGAGAATGTTAGGTCAGGGATGGACATGAACAGAATGTTTCAGTCACAGAGGCATTTGGACCCTGCAAATGGTAATATTTTTCCAAGATTACAGGCAGAAGGCATTCCTAGTCCCACCAGAATGGAATTCTCGGGTCCCAAAGGAATGCCGCTGCAACCAGGGCCTGGCAGGGACTTGGAAATGGGGATGGGACCTGCTAGCATGAACATGAATATGAACGTCAACATGAACTTGAATGTGAGCATGAGCTCAAACTCTCAGGCAGCATCGCAGAAACAAGGGCCTGTGGTGAGCCACCCTCACAATATGAGTCCAGATGAAGTTATGAAGATGAGGCAATCAAACAATGCAGAAATAATGTCTAAACAACAGAAAATGTTGCCCTCGCAGTTCAGTGATCAACCACCAGACTTCATAGTGTCACGATCTTTCCCTGGCATGCCTCAGGGTCCAGGAGCAATGAGAAATCCAAGGGATCAATTTGTGTCTGAACAAAGGACTAATGCAGGAGGCAATTCTAGGCTCAGTCACATGCCACCTCTACCTCCAAATCCGTCCAATAATCCGAGCTCTCTCAATGCAATACCCCCTGTTCAGCGCAATCTTGGCCGTAAACCATCAGACTTGAATGTTTCCAGTCAGGTGAACTCTCCAGGGATGAATCCATTAAAGTCGCCAACAATTAGGCAGGTGCAGTCCCCAATGGTCGGTTCACCCTCAACTAATCTCAAGTCTCCACAAACACCGTCTCAGCTCGCTGGCATGTTATCCGGTCAGGCCTCTGCAGTATCCATCAAATCTCCCCCAATCCTTGGGTCTGCAGCTGCTTCCCCTGTCCACCTCAAATCACCATCTCTCCCAGCTCCATCTCCTGGATGGACATCGTCCCCCAAACCTCCACTACAAAGTCCAGGCATCCAGCAGAACAACAAGCTCTCTCTTAGTTTAACATCACCTGGATTAATGGGGACTATGGAATCAGGTATTTACTGATCATTCCTAATTTATTCATAGCCTTATCTATTAATTTTGCATTTGATAGAGCGCCTTTCACATCAGGCGGACATCTCAAAGCGCCTCATACAATTTACTGTAAAATGTAGTGACTGTGTAGTTTTATGAAGAAGGCAATAGCTTATTTGTTGTTTTGATATTTGCACCTTTGCAGTTGCTGGTGTTTATGCTGATAACCAGTGGTCTAACGCAAATCTGTCCTGTGCAGTAATCATGTCCAGTTTCTGTGAGATTCCAAACTGCTGTTTTGTGTATTTGTTTTCTCTTTACCATAATTTTTGGGTATCAAACCAATGGTATTCCAAACAGTTTTCACTTACACATTGCCAAGATTCTGTCCTTAAAAGGAAGGTGTCATAATTTTTGGGTATCAAACCAATGGTATTCCAAACAGTTTTCACTTACACATTGCCAAGATTCTGTCCTTAAAAGGAAGGTGTTTTCCAGATTGTCCTGACCCAAAGCATCTTTATTCAGCAATTTCATCCTCAAGGATTTATTCCTGATGGTAATATTATTGGAAACATTTGAGACTTGTAAACATAGATTAAGGATGAGATTCTCCAATGATTGGGCTCTGAAGCATGACTTACTGGACTTGGTGGAGCTGCTCAAGACATGGCCAGTTTCTTCCCAAACTACAAGTCACCAGAGCAGTTTAGTGCAGGAGTTGGTGGGTCTGAGACTATCACAATGATAGTTCCTTGTTATAAGAGGAAGTTGGCTAATTTTTCCATGTGGTATGAGTACATCCACCAAAAGTAGTTTCTATAGATTTTATATTCCATTTAAAGTGATGGTGTCAAGAGATAAGCACTCAAAAGAACATTGCCAAGACTACAAACAGATTTTCTTTTACTCTTGGTGTTAGGATATTTATTTAAACCCTCTGTAGTATTACATATTGACAGCAGTATTTTTTTATTCACAACCCTTACTTGTTTGTGGGACATTGCTGTGCGCAATTGGCTGCCACCTTCGCCCTCAAATATACAGTCAATTCACTTTACAGTGTGTTCTGTGAAGTGCTATGGGACGTCCTCCCGACGTGAAAAGCGCTATATCAAATGCAAGGATTATTATTACTTTTGCTGGAGGTAATAAAGTTCCACCTGGCTGCTATTACAGCTCAAAATATACTCTTTTGGTTTATGAACATCTTATGGCCTCTAGGTTTAGACTGGAAACCTAAAAACGTAAGGTTTCCATTCATCTAATAGTCCCTGTCACACAAAGTTTATGCCAGACCTATTTGAGTCAGTGATATGCATATGATCATAGTCCCTTGTTTTGAAAACAATTAAGTCTGGTCCAGAGAAGTGAGCTTCCTGCCTTGATGGTGGACACCAGTTAGTGCCGATATCATGAGATGGTATCACAAGCTTGTGAGTATCACTCGACTCAGGAGAGAACTAGGCAGAAATTTCAATTGCCAGAACTTCCACTTTGGAGCAAAAATACAAGATAACCTCTCTATGGCTATCTTTGTATATGAAGGATGAATTTTATTTTCTCTCCTTCATGAATGGGGAAGTTGCCAATTAAAAAAAATCTAGCATTTGATATAGCGCTTTTCACGTCGGGAGGACGTCCCAAAGCGCTTCACAGAACACACTGTAAAGTGAATTGACTATATATTTGTGGGCGAACGCAGCAGCCAATTGCGCACAGCATTGTCCCACAGACAGTCGTGGATTGGAAATGACCAATTTATTATTGTTTTTGGTTTTGGAGGGATTATTATTTATCATTAATCACACCATATGGAACCTTGAAAAGTAAGCCTAAAAAATCTCAATCAATAGGAAAATGTAAGACTATTATTGTGCTTATCCTTTCAAAGCAAATTATTTCATAGACTTTGTTGACGTTTCATTTACAAATCTGTCCAATGCCTTGGGTCGTCTTCCCAAAGTGAAATGTAATTTTGTATTGTATTGTAATTATGTAACAAAAATTCTAATAGCCTATTTTAGTACCAAATTTGCCACTTTGAATATGTTCAAATGCAAAAATGCAAGTCATTATTGTTGTTGACTTACTTTTCTTGTGGTCTAACCTCTGCTAACCACTCAATTGCATGCTTGAATCTTGCCACCTCATTAAATGCAAATAAGTCATGCAAGGGAAGGGCAAGCATCTTAAGCACGCAGTGGTTTCACGAATAATAGTCCTTATATTTGGTATAGTCCATCCAAATACATTTCTATCTGGTATATCTACATCTGGCCCCCGATCAGGACTGCCTTCATCCATCTCTGCCATATTGCCCACTTTCACCCCTATCTTGCTTCAAATGCTGCTAAAAATCTCATTAATGCTTTATCGCCTCCCACTTTATTTTCCCAATGCACTCCGAGCCGACCTCCCAGCTCCACCATTAACGAGATCCAAATATTTCACAATTCCACTGCCTCACCCGTATCAGGCTCCGTACCCTCATCACCCCACTACTTGCCAGGCTCTACTGGTTCCCTGTTGTAGAACGGATCAACTTCTTCACTCTCACTTTGAAATCTCTTCATGCCCTGGCACTTCCCATCCTCTCCAATCTGTTGCATATTCCACCACCACCTTCGCTCAGCTGGCATGGGTCTGCTGCATGTTTCTCTTCCAATCGATTCCACAATTGGCAACAATGTTTTCAGCCACGATGCCCTGAATATCTGGAACTTATTGCCTTAATCCTTCCCTGCCCCTTCTTTTCCTGTCTACAAATCACACCTGAAAACTTTTCTCTTTGACTGTGCCTTTGATTACCCTCCCCTCCTTTCTGGCTCGAACATCAAGCCTCGCTGATATAAAGCGCTCTAAGACGCTATCCACAAGAAGGTGCTTTGTAAATGCAAGTTTCTATTGTTGTTGTAGCACAATGTCTATCCTCCTTCGGGAGGAAGTAAATGGGGTTTCCTTGGAGTTGAACTGGCACCAAGATGACATGCCTGGCAACAGAATGTCAGAATCAAACTAGTCCTCTGTGACTGTCTCAGTAATCCAGTTTCTGAGCCAGGCGGGTCCTCAGTATTCCAGGGCACTGCTGATGACAGTCTGGCTCATTGGAAGGACCAGGGAGGGCACACTAGTCACTGGGGTCAGGGAGTCATCCCACTCAGCTCCTGATAATCCTGCAAACCAAAGCCGTAAGGGTGGTCATAGCTGGATAAGCAGCGGGAAAGCCTGCCAGACAGTAATATCAATGGTAAGTCATGCAGTTTTAGCTGGTTATACTCTAGGGGTACCCCAATGCACAAGCTGTGGTCTCCAAGCGTTGGCTCTTGCCAACCTACGACTAATTATTTCCGGAATTAGGTAAGCAGGGTGCGACCCTCCAGGGAGAGAATGCGCATTCCATTCTAATAATCTATCTCTGGGATTTTCATGTGCATGGAAATCTCAGCTTGGCTTGGATACTCTTAAGCACGGTGATGGGTGCTTAACACCCAGCTGACCACACACAAAAAAATGTTGTAGCACCTTTCATGTCAGAGGATGTCTCAAAGCACTTTATAGGATATACTGCGAAGTGGAGTGATTGTTTTGTTGGCGAATATATATTTTCTTGGTGAATATATAGGGACATGCACAGAAACTGGTCCCAAATGTCCTATTCACGATTGGGTTATTGAATGCAGCTCAAAGTGGAGGTCAGTAGTTTGTCAGGATCACTTGAGTGAAGGAGTCACAGGTGAAGAGAGAAGAGGAAAAAGAAAAAAAAATTAAAAATTTAAATAAAACCTGATGAATGGGAAAGAACTTCATATATTATTTTTTAAAAAGAAAATTCCTAGAAAAATATTATCTTGGACTTATTAGTAGTGTTTCAGGTGCAGATGGATTGTGCACTGATCTTTTTATACTTTAGTATTACTATATCCTTCAGCGTTCTCATTTCTACTCAACAGAGTGAAGAAAACAGTCAGCAGTGTAGATTGTTTGGCTAGTGAGTTTTGCACTTCCTTTGAGTTATAAACTGCCCCAGAAAAGAATTGTCATCATTAAAATTAAGGCAAACCTATAAACCAGTGAAGCTTTTCATTCTATGTACACCTGTCAGCTCATTCTTCTATATATTCTTCTTGGCCTCTGAACAGACCATGACAGACCAGGATTTTAGAGAGATGCACACACATTGAATTTTAGGTTTGATTACAGGTAATTTTCAGTGCTCATTTTATGGCTTGTATCTGCATTTTAGTGCCATCACCTGAGAGAGAGTAATCAACAGCTGAAATAGGTTATAATAATAATCCTTTTACCTGGAATGCCAAACTATGTCTTGAAGAGCGTCACAAGGTTTCTATAAAGTAATTCTGTAGTGACTACATTTCATTGTGAAAAGTAGCAGCCAATTTGCTCACAAGTATTATTAATTCTTATTAAATATTTGCTCACAAGCAAAAATATTTAATAATAAATAAAATATTTAATAATAAATACATCTTTATTTTTAATGTTTGCTCACAAATATTATTAAATATTATTAAATATTTACTCACAAACAGTCATGAAGTGACTGAAGCATTTTATTTGGAGATTTGTTGATCAGGACATTGGAGAAACTCCCTTTTTAACCATGGTACTTAAAGTTGTTCAGGTGGATGTTAAAGATCCCATATCACTATTTAAATCAAAGGTTCAAGATAAATCTCTTCCATTGCTTATACAATCTAGAGAATTTCAAAATTAAGTTTGGTTTCACCTAATTTTCTTAATTTATCTCTTTCTCTCCAATCTTTGTAACCTTGGTGCTGAACCATATTCTATGCCTCAGCCATTCACCTAGGTTTCTCAATAATAAAAAATAAAAAGCTATTGTGACCAGGTGCTTCATAACTTGGTGCCTGTTTGTTTAGCAATAGTGTCAGTCACTGAGATTAGTGCATACGCACATCATGCTATCCTAGAAGTCCTAATATAAAAACAAAAGACATTAAAAACTTATTTTGTACATAAGCCACCCTCACATGAAAGATTGGAGACAGTTAAATAATTTAAATACTAAAGACTACACTGTATTGAACTATATATATATTGTAGCTAACTATATTTTGCTGCCTTGCCTCATCTGTTGATCAGGTATGGGCACAAGAATACATCAGGTCACAGACCAGAAGTCACGATCGTAGCTGGTGTTTTGCTTTTCAGCCGTTTATCAGCTGCAATAAAAGAAATGTCCAAGAAAATGTCAGAAACCAATCGTCACCACGAAAAGGATATTTGCCAGAATTTGGGATTTAGCCCATCACCCCCATTAAAAGTGAACTTGGTAGCAAATTCACAATACTGCATTTCTGATTCCAAAACAGCCCAAAAAATTAAACTTTAGTAAGAGCTCTTTCCGAAAACATTGGAGAACACAGCTTTCAGAACACAGATGTGGTTCTGATATTATCAATTCTTTATTCTCATGCACAAAGATAGCTGGTTCTAAGACACAGTATCGCAGAAACTTAGGCTAACCCACTACATTCAGCTGAAATTGTGCAGGTTGTATCCATCCTCGATGTCTAGCTCATCCGAAGCTTCCAAAGCTTTGGGAGCTGAGTAGCAGTTAATCCTGAAACTTGGGCAATTTGAGCACCTTGTGAGTAACTAGTCCCAAATGGAATATTTCCAGAACAGCAGCATCAACAAATGTAGGTTCTGCCTGGAAACCAGGAAGCAGCTGACATCTTTCACTCATGCATGTGACATATTAGCAAAAACCTGCATCAAACCTTTGAGTTACCTATGGGTTTAATAGGTGACAGGTTGCAACAACCTTCTGTCAGTTATGGTTGTAAGGAATTGAGTCTCTCCAGTTATATATTTTTAGCTCTTTGACTGGTCAGATCCTCCAGTAACCTGGACTCATCAATATTTGTGAAACTCAACTGGGAAATGATAATAAGGCACATTGTCCTTTGTGAAGTTTTAGCAGTAAAGATTTGGTATTAATGTTCCTGGTATCCCATTATTTCCATAAAGGAGAGAGTTCCTGTTCGGACATCCAAAACGGTATGCTACAACTCCACTGGTAGGTAACAAGTTGCATCTTGTTACGTTGAGTAGTGTAACAAAGCAAATCTCTGACACAACACACGCACCTCTGTTAGCAATTAGAATGTTGAAGCTCCTTTTCCTCCTTTGTTTCGACCTCTGATTTAAGTGCTCTGAGATGAAAGGCGCTTTATAAATGCAGGTTGTTGTTGTTTTTGTTGCTGTTATTGATGCAAGGTTGCAAAAAGAATCATCCTTCTAGCCACACATTGGTTTTTGATCCATTTTCTCACTTGGACGTTTTCTTTCTATTTCTATCCAGAGTGATACTCATTCAGGTGGAAGGTTGACTTTGCTACCATAAGGTATCCACTGTATCAGTTTCCAGTTATCAGGGTCTGCCTCTAAGTCTGAAGCAATGGTGTTTTACAGAAAATCTACCACAAAAGCAAATAGCAACGGTTTATTGTCTGGAACCAAAGGCACTATATACAAAAAAAGAACTTTGATATGTCAAAACTTTTGAAAGACAGGGTAGAAATGAAGCACAAAATGATAGGAGGTAAGTGAAACTGAGGTGTTGATGTTTGGGGATAGAATGTATAGGTGATGGGAGAACTGGATAGGACTATCAGAACCATTGTTACAGGGGACTCAATGGGGAGCTATCTGGATAGTGGATTATGGAGGGAGAATAATATTAATGGGGCTTTTATTTTTTCCAGGCCCAAGGGCAAGGGATCTAGAAATGAGGGCTGACGAGGGAGAGGGGGTTGAACCAGTTGGAGCATTACATATGAGACCAAATGATAACGTGGACAGAAGGTCGGAAGAACTAAAAGAATATAAAGGTATGGTGGGCAAGTTTAACCAGGGGATTACTTTCAGTGCTGTGTGGGATATGGAAGAGCGAGCAGGATATCAACTCTGGTGCATGCAGTAAAATAAATGTATTGGGTAGTTGACTTAAAACATAAAAACAGCAATTGAGATTCTTCAACCTTGATTTGATGGGAAAAGGGTCAAGACTTTGGCCACCATAATTGAGCAAATACTTATTGTTGACAAGTGGTAATACAAAATGTACTGGGAAAACAGAAATCTAAATGAGGATTATAAGGGTAAGCTTAACGATGCCTTTGACTCTGTGTCTAAAAGTTTTATGTTGTGGCATTGAGCTCCACAGATAAGAAGGCTTCCTTGTGGCATGTGAGTTAACCAACCTCATTTAAGGTGCTCATTCTCATGGAGTGCATTTTTATGTGTGCTTGTGAATGTTACACAGGTACAGAATTTGCTTCTGTGTCGCGTCTCTTAATGTTCAGAAGGGAAAAAAAACTTACGAAAATATTATTGAATGTTATCAATATTCATCTAAAGAGCATAGATGAGTTCATGCCCTATAGATTATCATTGTGATTTTAGAGGCAATACCTCATGTTTTGCAAATATGTTGGAATGCTTTGAGCTAGTGACTGAATTAACAAACATTAATTTCCAATTGATCTTCAATTGATTCAATTTTTCAATTTTCAAGAATTCCAAGTCAGAGATTTATAAACAAAATTACTTTTCTCATGTCTCAGGCCAGTTTTATTTCTAATCTTAGATTACTGCTCAATACACTTATCTGTCAAAAGTTCTTTCTTCATTTTAACAATGATTTCTTCATTTGTTTGACTGTAGCTGTGACAATTTAAAAATTGATATGCAAAACAGCCTGGGTGAATTTATAGATAGGAACTGAATTGAAGGTCAAAATTATAGATGCAGATGATCAAATAATCCATGGACTACTTTGGGACCATGGAAATAGGAACAGGGGAATGTTCAGGGTCTGAGAAAGAACTTTGTGGTTTTACTTCATCTTGACATTTCCGGTTTCTTACAGATTTCATGTTACTGCTTGCTACCATAATTGTTGTCAGCTGAAGAGAAACAATTGTGTTTTATTACCAATTCGTAGAAAATGTTTTTAAGATACACTTAGATTCTGGTTTTCATATCTTTCAATCAATTCCGTCATGAAATACAGGAGCTATTCTAAACCTCTCTTGAATTTGCTGACACTATTTGCATCCATCACCTAATTCTGTGGTGTATTTCATACATTCTATGTGGAAAGTAAATAAATCTGACTGTCTGTTCAGTTATCATCCCTATCAAAACTCTCTTTGTTGGACTTTGTAGGACCTTTGCTACATCATCTGATTCCACAGTTCCCCCAACTTGGTGTCATGTGCAAATTGAACTATCTTACACTGGGTCTGTAAATCCAGGTCATTAATAATTAATAGATATGAGGAACAGAAGGGTCCCAGTAGAGACCCCTGAGGCATCTCACTTAGCACTTCTCCCCAGTTTGACCGAGCTCCCCTAACAAAGCTTCTATGCTTCCTTCCCTTCAGCAAATTCTGAATCCACGACCAAGTCTTGGCCTTGATACCCCGTGACCACAGTTTGTGCAGGAGTCTTTCATGTGGTACTTTGTCGAACGCCTTTTGGAAGTTTAGATATACAAATCATATGGCTTTCCAGTCTATAACATTAACAGTTTCCTATGGGTCAATGGATCTGACTGGCTGATGGTTATAGTACATTCATAGCTTTTCCTTAGGGGAAAAAAACTGCAGTTACTGAATTGGAAAAAAATTGCAGTTACTGGGTCAAACAATAAATCAAACGCAAAACATTTTCTTTCCAGTATTTTGAAATGTTATGGAATAAAGAATGGTTGATGAGAGACTGAATGGAACTTCTTTCTTCTATGTCATAAGAATGGCCCAATATACCCTTGAAGTGGCTTGAGAATTTATACTGGGATTTACTAGTTTAGGACTGACTAACTTCTGCTTTCTTTGCAAGTATATGTATCTTTTGTGGAACGTCTGATTTTAGGTTTATGAGCTTGTGATAATTCTTCTAGGAAAAAAATTAAATTTTCCATACATGACTTGCACTTAATGACGTGGCATTCATGTAGGATAATGTCTCAAAACACTTCACAGAGATGGAATGGAAGCCTGCCTGAGCAGGGTAGGAGATTTGGGGTGGGGGATTCAGAGGGAGATGACAGAAGGCACAGTCAAAGAAGTATATATTTTTTTAGAAGGATTTTGAAAGTAGATTGAGAGGGTGTGCGGCCAGAAGATTTTTTTTTCCAGGTTTTTATGGATTGAATATTTCTTGATTGATGGCATTAATCAAGGAAATATTCAATCAAGGACATTTATTTTGTTGGCGGACCGAAAAGAATGGCCGCCATTGGGCTATGGAGTTCTGAATAATCTGGGCCAGTGAAAAGAGAGTTAGAGAAATCAAGTCTGTATGTGACAAAAGTGTTAATGAGAGTTTTGGCTGTGTGGGTTGCAGCATCTAGGTTGCTGTGAATCAATGCTATATAAAAATACTGTTGGCACAAAACCAGGTCTTGGCCAGTTACCTGTAATGAGTCCCCACTGAAATTCCAGCCAACTATAAGCTTGTAAATAGCTAACTATTAATAATTAACTTAATATTTAACTGAAGTACCAGAATAATATGACACATTATTTGATAGTGGCTTGCAGACAGTGAGATTGAATATGTAATATTTGCAAACCTGAAGTTTCAGTTTTGTGTTCGGGTCCTTTCTAAGCCTGAAAAGTATGACAAAATGTCAGAATATGTAATAATCCTTGTGATTCATAAAGTGCATTATCACATCAAAACATCGCAAAACATTTCACAGTGTTTTTTGTGTTGGGTAGTGACTGCAAACATGCAGGTGAGCAAAGCAGCCAAATTGTGCTCAGCAGTGTCTCACAAACAGTCATGAAGTAAATGTCCAGTGAAAGACTCCCTTCTCATTTTCATTATTGTCATGGAAAATGTAATGGTCACTGAACAGGCACAGGTACCTCAGTTTAATGTTTCACCCAAAGTGTAACCTAGACTAAGAATGCCAGAAAGCAAAATGCTGTGGGGGTTTTCAGTGAATTCCATAAAGAATTCTGCAATTTCAGTCCCAAACCTTATGTCTCTATGAGGAAGAGGAATTTCTGGTTTGTGAATCCCGCATTTTCAAACCAATGTCTTTTTTCTCTCGATTAGTTGAGCTTTCCAAATTGGACTGTGATTGTAACATTCCAGTGTTCATTTAAGTTCTCTTGTTTCCAGGTGTTCCTGCTTCAGTGCAATCGAGTTCTATGAATCTATCCTCAAGTCTTCCATCCAGCAGTCCTTATTCGGTGCCCCCTGAACCAAGCCTTTCCCAGAATCCCTTATCCATCATGATGTCCCGGATGTCGAAATTTGCTATGCCCAGTTCCACACCACTCTACCATGATGCAATCAAGACTGTTGCCAGCTCAGACGATGACTCGCCACCTGTACGGTCACCAAATCTTCAGTCCATCAATCACATCCCAGGTGAATATTCATCAGTCTTCCTGAAGCACGGAGACCCCGTTAGAACATGCTTCATTGGGACTCGAGTTTTACTTATCGCACAGGTCTACTGAACTAGAAGTGTGGTATACCTGACTTTAGGACTACCTGGCTTCCCACACTACAAGGTTGTTATTGCCATCACTTTCTGCAAGTTGTACGTATACGTGATGCATGCAGGAAGTGAAATGCTACTGACATCCCTTAGAAAAATAAGTGACATTGGCAGTGCTTCCGATGCATAGTGTGCATGTGCAACATGCAGGAAGTGATTTCAGTGTTACTTCCTGCGTCTGACAACCCAGAGGATGGAGAGGTGGTTAATATTTTTTCTGTGGACCTGTTATAATGTGGTGTTTTTCTTTAAAATCTGCACCATGGCATTACCTAGGGGTAGTCCTGTATGCTCGTCAGCAAACTAACTTTCCTAAGATGTGGCTTCAGTTAAAATTTGATTTGTTTTAGAGGGAAGTTCTCATTTTTTCATTTCTTTGGAATATTTACTCTGCGTACCATAATTAATATTCAACAATCATCCAGGAATGGCAGTAAATGCTATCGTTGTTGAAATACTATGGGAGAAGGAAGGGAAGATTATTGAGCTATAAATTTACAGTGCCATTTGTGCATTGGTTGATCAAGCTTATATGTAAACACTTCAGGTCATGAACATAAACCTCAGGCAAAACAGTTGGATTATTGCACTCCTCTTCCTCACCATTAACCATTGTCTAGCTTGATCATGTTGTGATAACAATGCGTGAGCATGCTTTCTGTGCACAGTGTAGAAAGAAATGTTGTTTTTAAACTTCTGAAATTCTACTTAAATCCACAATCAGCCATATTCTTTTCCCCACAGTTTTTCTGCAATTATGAATGCTCAGGACCCTGTATAAGTGAAACCTCACAACCTCAGAGATGCTGCAACAATGTACAGCAAGCTTATGAAAATGTTCTTCTAAGCCATCGAGCTAATCTGACAGCTGAAACAGGCTTTTTCCTTTGTGCCCTCATCTTAAGCACAGTGTAGTTCCCAATTTCTAGAGGAGATTTTGAAATCATGAGCACAATGGGCTGTTGGATTGTAAGCCCTCTTTATTCTGAATCTTAATGGCCTATCACATAAATAGGATTTAAGCCATGGTTCAATTCGCTGGTACCATTATGGCAACATTTTCACATAACTACTTTCACTGCACAAAACAACATTATAGTCTGATGTGCTGACTTCAGACGTAAATAAGTGGTATACACCATCTTCTAATTATTTAATTCATGCACAAGTTCATGTGGAATGCATCCTTCAGTTGTTACTTTAATGGATGTGGGCTGACTGAGAAAGGTAGAGCTATTTTATTTGTGTTACGGGCATATCGTGGACCAATTTATCTCAGGCTCTTCTGGATGTTCTGTGGCTGATCCTCCAATTGTTGATTACATTTACAGAAGAATATGTCTTGAAGAAAAACTGAGATTAACATCTTGAGTCAGCCATAGACGCATCCAAAGAATTTATTATTCTTTTGTGCATCGAAAATTCTTTTGTGTATTGCAAATTAGACCCTTTTATGTGCAGTGATTCATGAGGTAATTCACACTGAAAATATCACAAGAAGCAAAATAATGAAATGTCTCCAGATTTACAAATATATAAATAATATGTCTCTCCCTCCTGCTACACACAAACATACAAGTTACTTCAGTGAAAATGTTAGTTTGTATTTTTTCTTTAGAAAAACTACAAACTAACCACAAATGTTTTATTGGTGCATCTTCAATAAAATAAAATGATGTGTTTTATTTAAGAATAATTTTATGAAAGGCTTTCATAAAAAAATCACACAACTACTTTCCCTGGACAAAACAACATTATAGTCTGAGGTGCTGACTTCAGAGACGTAAATAAGTTCTTGAATAGCTATGCCTTGAATAGCTGCATATCAGTGTTAACATGTTCACTGGAATTGTTTCACACTGACCAAACTTCACTGATGTGATTTACATCTACAGTCACTACGATGCACTTCCAGTTACCAATAAAGACTCCAATTGCAAATCCCATTATGAATGTTGCATTTGAGACACTTATTATCAATTGAGGGCCAAAGTAAATGTAAACAGTGTTAAACTTTCATACTACAAATTGTAATTATTGTAGTTTGTACAATTTGCGGGCCTGCATATTAGTTTGTTTATTTGGGTTTGATGAAAATATCACGAAAATGGTGTGAATGTAAAGCAAAACACAATTGTACTGGCATAAGAACTCTGTGAAACTCCTGCTGGTGGTCTTGTTCACAGTGGTGAAGTTCAATTGTTCATCAGTGCCACAACCAGGCACATAGTGGTATTACAACCTTTTTAAAAATATGCATTAAAACCAGGACATTTGCTCTCCTCGTAGTTATTGGGAGGAGCCGAGTCATATAGGCTCAGTGGATCCCAGCTTCAATCTGTGCTATGCTGAGTTAGCTAATCTCATTCGAGGTAATAGCATGATTGCTACAGTTAGCCTACACTTCCTCAAGAGTGGAAAAAATCGCCCAGGGTTCAGGACTCTCTGATGTATGTGTTGTGTGTTGTCAGATGAAAACAAAATCAGATTGTCACTTGATTCCCCTGTCCAAATAACCTGCCAACACTGAGTGGGTTTGCACATCAATATTGGTCACTTGGCGACGTTGTATGGAATAAGTTTGCATTCCATCAATTGAATACCCTCCACTGAGCAACCCAATACTGTGGGGAGAAGGGAGTCCTGTAGCTCAGTGGTTAGAGCACTTGCTTTGCAAGCAAGACACCTGGGTTCAATTCCAGGCAGGGCGAAACCTTGGGCAAGTTTCCTTACTCCACACGCCTAATAATAATCCCTCCAAAACCCCAAACAATAATAAATTGGTCATTTTCAATCTACGACTGTTTGTGGGACATTGCTGTGCGCAATTGGCTGCCGCGTTCGCCCACAAATATACAGTCAATTCACTTTACAGTATATTCTGTGAAGCGCTTTGGGACGTCCTCCCGACGTGAAAAGCGCTATATCAAATGCAAGGATTATTATTATTATTATTATTAAGGGGGAAATACTTTCAGAAGAGGTGAGGGAAGCAAAATATCTGCAAACATCAATAGCAATTAATCAGATCCACCCTAATTTGATAATTAAAAAAAGTCACTTAGCAATACAGTATTGCTTTCCACTGGGAAATATGAGTATGTATCTCAAATTTGAGTAAAAAAGATAAGTGAAAAATGTATGGATAAGAATAATAACTTTATGAAGATGAGACCAAAGTGAATTGTGCATGAACTGTATTCCAAAGTGGAATGAACACAATGCTTGTGAGCTCTCATTTCATTCAACAGAGCTCATGTTCATCACTTCAGTTGCCTAGACAGAAAAAGTACTCATTTTAGAGAATTCTTTTCATATTCCTTCTTGATATTTTCATGCTATAGTTGGGGTCATTGATAGCGTAGATTTGTGTAACTTCATTTGGACATAGGAAGTTATTGTCGCTTGATGGTAAGGTTATGGAATTGGGTGATGTGCGTTCATAATGTTCCATCAAATTACCAATGGGCACTGAATGATTTTAGCATGAGGAAATCGGATACGTTTATGTTTTGATAACTTTCAAAATTGTAACATTTCTCCAAAAATATCAAATCATTTCCTCAGGTAAGAACTTGTAATTCTCTTTCTAAGCTTCAGTTTGAAATGTTTCAGGGAAACATTTTTTCTGATACTCTTGATTTTGTTTGTATTTTGGAGCATGTAATCTGTTGTGCTTTCCATCTATTATTTTTGAGACCTTTCACATTATGTGTTTCTTTGAGATGTCGGTATGACTGTTGTCCTTTTTCGACCCAAGTGGTATTTTGTAGAGCAATATCTACAAAATAGCTATCAACATTTCAGTAAAGGTAATTAATCAAAGCTCAAACTGTGATCAAATGGCTGAAATGCACCAAGATCTTTTTAAATATTGTTCAGATAGTTTTTTTTAAGGGATGATTGAGATCTTAACTCATCTTTCTGATTTCATTGACTGGGAAAAGCACATTTTGAGAATAGCATGAATGCTAAAGATCTGTTTTGTTTTTGCTTACAGGTGTTGTCCATCCAAACCAAATTCGAATATCAGGCCCCAATTCAGCTGGACAGATTCCATCTTTAAGTCCAATGGGAATGAATGTTCTTGGGGGACAACCTCTTTCTCATAACCTGCCCAACCATATGTCTTCTCCAAATCCAATGGGACCTAACATTCCACCACATGGCCATTTGGGGCCCAGCATGATATCACATGGCCCCATGATGCCGCACAGTACCCAAGACCCTTCACTGAACAATCCACAGATGATGCACCAAGGACGCATGGGTTTTCCTCCTGGGCAGCAAGTGTTCCCAAATGTGCAGTCACCACCACATGGTCCAGGCCCACAAGGCGGTTTCCCACCTGGAATGGTTTTTCATGGGGAAGGAGGACCAATTGGCCGTCCTGGCAATCTTACTCAACCTTCTCCAGACCAAGGCCTTTGTAAACCGGTGCCACCAGGTATCCCAGACTCTTTCACTGCTATGGGAAATAGTATGCCTTCAGTGTACAATGACCCGGACTTGCAGGATGTCATTCGTCCCAGTGCGTCTGGAATTCCTGAGTTTGACCTCTCCCGGATCATTCCATCGGAGAAGCCGAGCCAGACACTGCAGTATTTTCCCCGTGGTGATGCTCAGGTTCGCAAGCAGCTGCAAGTTCCAAATCCTGGTTTTTCACACATGCAAGGATTGATGGGAGAACCGAATCCAGGCAGAATGGGACTACCGATGTCCAATGTGGCAGGACACAATGTAATAGTGCAAGAAATGGCCATGAACAATCCTGGCTCCATGCAGGGTCACAATCCTATGAGGCCACCTGGTTTTATGCACCAAGGCATGATGGGGCCTCAGCACCGAATTATGTCTCCACCACAAGGTGTTATGCCAGCACAGGCCAACATGATGAACAACCCGAATGCAGTTATGATTCAAGGGAAGGAAAGGGTTCCTGGAAATCTATACAGCCATCCAGGCCCTGTAGGGTCTCCTCAGCATAGCATGATGATGTCTCTACAAGGTATGGTTGGGCCTCAGCAGAATATGATGATGCCACCCCAAATGAGGCCTAGAGGTATGGCTGCTGATTTAGGCATGGGATTCAATCAAGGACCTGGCAACCCGGGGAATATGATGTTTTAGCTGCTAGGATGGGACACTTGCAAACAGGCAAATTTGAATTGGAAGAGTTGTCCTGGCTCTGACACATACAGAGATGTTTGAAAAACACTGGGATTTCTGTGCATGTGCAAAGCCAAACTGTTACTTGTTTATACAAAAAAAAGTTGAGCATTAAGCTTGAGAAGTCCAGAATGTATGAAATTCTTCAGAATGGAATTTGCATTGCTAGGTCAGTGGTTTTTAGGTTTTTATTCATTTTTAGTGAACCTGGGTAGCATATTTAGCTCCCACTTCTGAAAGCTGCAACCGTATTATATGGATCGCAGTTGATTGCAAGTTGCACCTAACCGTTTATGTTTACTTCATGGACTATTCCTTCAGAACTTTTTTCTCATTGTGTACTGTACTACATTGTAAAAGGGATTTCAACTGTGACTTCGTGTTTGAGGGAGGTGAGCACCATGATTCACAAAGCATCAGTACTGTTTGCGTGGGTTTACGTGTTCATGTTTGTTAGACACTATTTTCGTTTTGTTTTTTTGCGACTCTGGTATATATTAAACCAAATTACAACCTCTCTGACAGAAAAGTATTAACAAAAAAAGCACAAAAAGGCAATTATTGAGTCAAGTAAGAATTTTCAATGCTCTTTACATTGGATGAGCAACAATGGACTGTGGAAATTTCTAAAAGGCATTTGTCCTTTGGTACCTCTGCGACTCTCCTACATTGGGATGGAAGTAGACAAATGATGCACCTCATTTTAAAGCATTGTCCCGCGTTGACAGTGGGATATTGGATTATGTTCCTGTTTCATGTTGTGGCACGATAACATGCAGTAGTATCATTTTTATCCTTTGTTATTGTTATCATTTATAATAAACCCCAAGTGACTTTTTTTGTGGGAGTGGAAAACAAATATAAAAATCCAGGTTTTATTTGTGACTTTTTTTCTTCTTCTCCCCATCTTAAACTATTATGTGTACTCCGTGAAATTTGGTACAGAACCACTTGCCAGGGCTGTGGTGTTGGAAGAAAAATAAAATATATTGTTTCTTATAAAAATGTATTGTCTCCATCTTTTGTTTTAAATGTTTAGCAATGTTTAGGATGATCCATTTGATGGTAACTTGTTGAAGTCTGGTTCAGTACTCTTTCTCGACAATTTTTGCCAATTTGACAATTTCCCTTCTAGAAGCTATTCTGGTTGTTGCTGCAACTGTTAATTGTTTCAATTTATATTGTCTAGTTTGAAGAGGACAATATAAAATAATGTATTTTTCATGCAATGTGAAAGAAAGTCATAAAAGATCTTCATCCTATACTGCCCTCATAATGGTTCTACAATTTCTAAATACAACAACAACAAGATTCCACTTATAAAGCGCCTTTCACGTCAGGAGGATGTCCCAAGGCGCTGCACAGTTGGGTCATGACCCGAGCAGGGGGGAAATGGTCAGGGTGAGGGGAGGGAAGGGAGGGAGCGAGGAGGGGGGAAATGGTCAGGGTGAGGGGAGGGAAGGGAGCGAGGAGGGGGGAAATGGTCAGGGTGAGGGGAGGGAAGGGAGGGAGCGAGGAGGGGGAAGAGAGTCGAGAGGGGAGCTGAAGGCTCGGTCAAAGAGAAGATGTGTGTATCACGGACTTCCCTCACTTCACACCATTCTCAATGGGGATATCAATGAATTTGGAACAACGGTATTGGGCTTGAGACTGTCAAAACTCCTGATATGAAATATTCAAAAGGCTGGTACACTGCTAAACAGCACAAGCTACAAACTGCAAAACCAAAAGGGCCGTATTTAGCCAAATAGCGAATGGTCAAGCTTCACTGACGTTATCATAGAGAAAAGCCATTTCAAGACAAATACCAGGAAATTACCAGTTCTTTACACAGGATTAACTAAACTGAGCACAGGTTTACCAAGAAGAGTGATTGAGGCCAGCACGCTGAATTCATTTAAGAAATGGCTTGCCACTGTAATGAGAGGATGGTGGCTATTCATGAAGATGGCATAAAATAAATGGAAAGGCTTTTCGCCCAAATCTCTCTTGTGAGGGGTAGTTTCAAATGTGCAATTCTGGGTCCATTCAGTGCACTAAATATTCTTAATCATTGTTGTGTTTTTTGCAGCAGTGAAAAACTGCCTCTTTTTTTCTGAGTTCTGAGCCTTTGACTGGTAATGAAGCTTATTCCGAATTCCATGGCACCAACTAAAATTATTGTAATCCCAGGAGAAGTGCAAATGTTGCTTCTAGCGACTTGTGTTACAGTTCAGGGATATTAAGTTTTCTTATGTCTTTTTCTTTTCTAGTTTTCTGCTGGGGGAATGGGAGGAGATGTATACTGTTGGCCAGTGATGTAAATTATGTGTCTGTTTCAGAAATGGGAGCTAATGGCTGGCGTGCAGTTGAGAAGAAGATGAATGTTCTGAGATGAGACAGTGGTGAATACTCTTTGCAATTAATCCAGTCTAAAATGTCATTCACCAGCCTCTGGATTGCCAAACTGTAAAACATTGGCACCGACATGTTATCTTAATCTCATTCTTCCAACAACTTCTGTAGGCTCCCTTCATTTCAATTTAACCAGTCATATTTCTCAGTCATAAAATGTTGAGTCTCGAACTCTCATAACCAATCTGAAGCACTGAAGCTCAAATTCTGTTGTTAGGATTAATCCTGCGAGATATTGCAGTGCACCGTATTGAAGGGAATCAACATTTATTTAAAACAATTCAGAAGGAAATATAGTTACTGTATTAAATGCGTTATATAAAATCATCGTATACATGGGAATGAGAAAGTTCACCCAGAAAGTTCACCCAGATACTTCAGTATCTCAAGGTAGCAATATAAATCTGTACACGTTGAGGTTTGTAAAGGCAATTTCAAGAAAAACACCAGAATGTACCAGAACTTTACACAACTAACGGCTGAGCTCAGTTTACCAAGAAGAGAGATTGAGGCCAGCACACTGAACTTATTAAGAAATGGCTTGATGATGTAATGGTGAGTATTAGGAATAGATTGAAAGGGACTGCTTCATCCAAATTTTTTGTTTATTTGGCTTTGGAAGCATATCTCTGCGTTGCAAGCATGCACATTCGCATATTGCATCAATATGTAATGAAAATTGAAAGCAGTTTAAAATCCAATGACAGGTTTATTGCAAAACTTCAGTAACTTATATAAGTTGGCAAAAGCATAGGATACATTCACCAAGGTACAATACCAGTTTGATGGGAAGATTCTAGGTGACAGAATACAAATGCATTTTGGTCTGTGGTTTTAACTGTTGTGTCTGGTACATTCAATGTTGTACATTATATTTGAAAGGCACATTACGCCTGGTCAGAAAATGTTAATTTGAATATCGATCAGGTCCTTGCAGACAAATGTGATTTTCAACTGCACCCTGGCTCCAGTGAACACATATTCAATGGTTCAAGCAGTTTGCAGTTAATGTCACTGGAAAAAAAATGTCCTCTTGGTCATTTACATGTAGAGACTCAAGAATACAATGAGTCTGTTCAGTCCAATGAGCCTGTTTCCTGAATGATTAGAATATGGGTGGCTCTTTTAATCCCATTTCCCCAGTTTTATTCATTTTATAATGATCATTTAAAGTTTTTTTTAATATATACTATAAAAGCCCAGGTATTTTTCAAGGCTCCTGGAGTCCATTGTGTCAAAAAGAGAAAATCATAAATTAAACAAAGGTGGGTAAATTCAATGTAAGTGTTAATTTTGTATTTGCTAGCCATATTAAGGATAGTCAGAGAACACCACAAAGATTTTCACAGCAGAACTATGAACAGTTTCTTCACTTTCTGATCCTGCCAATACAGCAACAACAGCATGAGCGCTTCTGGCTTCAAGAAAGCATTCTTCAGTAGCTTACACATATGCACTGCTGGGATGAGATACTGTTGCAGTGTAGTGTCTACGCATTTGTGGTAAAAATGCAGATCATTCATTGACTTGGTAAATTTACAATACTGATTTATGATCAGGATATTACTTTCTACTTTGGGGTCCATTTTCAAGGTTTGTCGTATATTGTGCAAAGAAACTAGAACTAGCCCTTTTACAGGTTTGAGGACGCTGTCAGTGGGTCAAAATTCATTACCTCATTGATGATAGAGTCTACTTCATTTACTAGGTGTATGCATCTTGTAACTTTAATTCAGGCATTTCCCTGTGGGAACACAGTGTTTTCAAATAATGATTAATCCCATTGTAATAAATTTGGATTTGGCATTAATTTTATAGTTGCTTCACTTCTACGAGGACCTCAGTCAGATGCAAAAATGAGTACTTTATGAGCCTGTATGGGGTGCACAGATACGCCCTTATACAACAGCTTAGAATCCACAGCACAATAGCATCAGAAGTTGTGCTGTTAGTTTCTTAATTTAGGAGACAAAACTTCAAGAATTTCATTTAACCTCTAATGTATTTGCCACCAGATTTCACTAATTCTGCAGATAAATTATTGAATCACTGCAAAGTGCTAGATTTCTTCACAAAATGCTTATCCAATTCCAGAATGAGGTTTTCGCAATAGCACAGAGAAAACTCTTAAACACAGAATTTACAACAAATGATAATACTTGCATTTGATATAGCGCTTTATCACATCTTCGAGACATCTTAACGCGTTTCACAGGGTAGTAGTGAATAGTAGTTCACTACTACTTCACAAATAGTAGTGAATGTATGTCTCTCTCTATTTCAAAATGTAGATTTGCTATTCTTCCTGTTTCCTGTAGTTTCTGTCCCTGAGAAACAGTTGGTACTTTTTCCACCAACTGTTTCTCAGACTCCCACACCTGAAATGCATCTTCTTTCCCCATTTAGTCAAGGTCATACTTTGCAGTAATTAACGACATGGAAACTGAATGTTGACAGTGCCAAAAACTCTCTGATGTGCAGATTAGGATGTAGTAGTAATAATATAATATTCCACATATTTCAAATGTACCTTATCATGTCCTCGAGACTTCTCAAAGTAAAGTGTATTCGTGGATATTGTATGTGAATGTAGTAACCAAATCTAAGTCAAAATGTGTGTAGATATCTGAGTATTGAAACTTTTATTTCATGGTCCCGTGAAAATTGTAACACAGTAAGTTTCCTGCTGTTGTTTACCCATTGGCACTTTCAGATGTGCTTCAAATTCTTGTTCCATATCTGAGAATGTTAAATTCGGTCCTCTTAACAATCTGAGCCTTACACAATTATCTTGAACTTCAAAAACAATTTAATATCAAAATCAAATAGTCGGATTCAGATACTAGTAATAATAATAATCCTTGCATTTGTTATAACGCCTTATCATTGAGACATTCAAAGTTCGTCACAGAATATATTGTAAAGTGGATTGACTGTGTTGTTTGTGGGTGATATCCATCAAGTCTCCGTATTCACATTGTTTTGCTTTAATGTTTTGCTTTCATGCAAACCAATAAGTGTGGGCAGCATCGAGGACGTGACCCTGAAGGGTTTGCAATGATGCCTGGCAAGGGAAGGTTGCGGAGTGTAAACTATGTGAATGGCACCGTATCATTACAAGTTCTTGTTGTGCTGAACGTGGGCAGCAGTCAAGACTTAACATTGAGAGATTTGTTGTGATGCCCGGTGAGGGAAGGTTGCGGAGTCTGAACTGTGCAGGAGACACAATATCAATGCAAGTTGTGGTGGTTGTGTGCAATGCACAACGTGGGGCAAACAGCCATGACTTGCCCCTGGATGGGGTAAGCTGCGGCAGGTGCAGGTGATCTTCACGCCCCTCCGGGTCTGGCCTCCTCCTCGTCCACCGAGTCCTCCTTACTCCGCCCTCGGCGGCCGTGCCTTCAGCCACTACGCCCCGAGGCTCTGGAACGCCCTTCCTCGCTCCCTTCGCCTCGTTCCCTCCCTTCCTATTTTCAGGACCTTTCTTTTCGACCGCGCCTTTGGTCACCTCTCCCCTCTCCCCCCTCCCCCTCCCCCCTCCCCCCTCCCCCCTCCCCTCTCCCCCCCCCCCCCCCGGCTCGGCCCCGGGATCCGTTAATGTGAAGCGCTCTGAGACGCCCTCCGGCGTGGAGGGCGCTGTGTGAATCCAAGTTGTTGTTGTTGTTGTTCAGTGCGGGGGAGGTGACAGACAGACAGACAGACAGACAGGGAGGGAGGGAAGGAGGGAGGGGGGAGGGAGGGTTGGATGTCGGGGGGGGGGGGGACATGTTGTGAGTCACGAGCTCCTCACAGTGGGAGGAGCCGGGCGGCCGGAGGAGAAAGTGCTGTGTGTGAGCGGCTGTGTGCGGCGGCTGTCGGTGGCTCTGGCCTGGACCTGGGCCTGGGCTCGGGCTCGGCCGCCATGAGCCTGTACTGTAAGCTCGGGCTGGCGGTGTCGGCGCTGGTGAGCGGGGCGGCGGCGCTGCGGGGCTGGAGGCGGCCCCAGGCTCAGGACCACAGTCAGTACGAGCTCCGGCAGGTGCAGGTGATCTTCAGACACGGGGCCAGGACACCGCTGGACACCCGCTCTATCATTGAGGAGGTAACTGTGTGTGTGTGTGTGTGTGACACACAGTCAGTCAGTCAGTCAGACCGACCCCACCGCAGAGCGGCTCTGAGAGGCAGTGCAGGGGAGGGCAGGGGGTGAGGGGAGGGCAGGGGGTGAGGGGAGGGCAGGGGAGGGGGTGAGGGAGGGCAGGGGGAGGGGGTGGGGGGAGGGCAGGGGAGGGGGGGAGGGGAGGGCAGGGGTGAGGGAGGGCAGGTGAGGGGAGGGCAGGGGTGAGGGGAGGGCAGGGGAGGGGGTGAGGGGAGGGCAGGGGAGGGGGTGAGGGGAGGGCAGGGGTGAGGGGAGGGCAGGGGAGGGGGTGAGGGGAGGGCAGGGGTGAGGGCAGGGCAGGGGGTGAGGGCAGGGCAGGGGGTGAGGGGCAGGGGAGGGGGTGAGGGCAGGGGAGGGGGTGATGGGAGGGCAGGGCCGGGGAGGGGGTGATGGGAGGGCAGGGCCGGGAGGGGGTGATGGGAGGGCAGGGCAGGGGGTGATGGGAGGGCAGGGCAGGGCAGGGGTGATGGGAGGGCAGGGCAGGGCAGGGCAGGGGAGGGGGTGATGGGAGGGCAGGGCCGGGGAGGGGGTGATGGGAGGGCAGGGCAGGGGGTGATGGGAGGGCAGGGCAGGGGGTGATGGGAGGGCAGGGGAGGGCAGGGCAGGGGGTGATGGGAGGGCAGGGCAGGGCAGGGGAGGGGAGGGGGTGATGGGAGGGCAGGGCCGGGGAGGGGGTGATGGGAGGGCAGGGCAGGGGGTGATGGGAGGGCAGGGCAGGGCAGGGCAGGGGAGGGGGTGATGGGAGGGCAGGGCCGGGGAGGGGGTGATGGGAGGGCAGGGCAGGGGTGATGGGAGGCAGGGCAGGGGGTGATGGGAGGGCAGGGGAGGGCAGGGCAGGGGGTGATGGGAGGGCAGGGCAGGGGGTGATGGGAGGGCAGGTTGCAACAGGCATCAGTCTCTTTCCCCCCCCCCCCCCCACACACACACACACAGTCAGTCAACACCTTCAATAGAGGAAGCAGGAAAGAGTGCTGCAGATAGAGCCATAATTGTATTGTTGCTGAGGGTGAGGGTGAGGGATGAGGACTGGGGACTGGGGGTGAGGGCTGGGGGTGAGGGCTGGGGACTGGTACTGGGGGTGAGGGCTGGGGGTGAGGGCTGGGGACTGGGGTGAGGGCTGGGGGTGAGGGCTGGGGACTGGGGTGAGGGCTGGGGGTGAGGGCTGGGGACTGGGGTGAGGGCTGGGGTGGGGACTGGTACTGGGGGTGAGGGCTGGGGGTGAGGACTGGGGACTGGGGTGAGGGCTGGGGGTGAGAACTGGGGACTGGGGGTGAGGGCTGGGGGTGAGGGCTGGGGACTGGGGGTGAGGGGTGGGGGTGAGGGCTGGGGGTGAGGGCTGGGGACTGGGGGTGAGGGCTGGGGGTGAGGGCTGGGGACTGGGGGTGAGGACTGGGGACTGGGGGTGAGGACTGGGACTGGGGGTGAGGGCTGGGGTGAGAACTGGGGACTGGGGGTGAGGGCTGGGGACGAGAACTGGGGACTGGGGGTGAGGGCTGGGGACTGGGGGTGAGGGCTGGGGACTGGGGGTGAGGACTGGGGACTGGGGGTGAGGGCTGGGGGTGAGAACTGGGGACTGGGGGTGAGGGCTGGGGACTGGGGGTGAGGGCTGGGGACTGGGGGTGAGGGCTGGGGACTGGGGGTGAGGGCTGGGGTGGGGACTGGTACTGGGGGTGAGGGCTGGGGGTGAGGACTGGGGACTGGGGGTGAGGGCTGGGGACTGGGGGTGAGGGCTGGGGACTGGGGGTGAGGGGTGGGGGTGAGGGGTGAGGGGTGGGGGTGAGGGCTGGGGGTGAGGGTGAGGGCTGGGGGTGGGGGTGAGGGCTGGGGGAGCGACTTAATTTTTATTTTTTTTAAAAATTACCTGCAGCCCAAGGATTACAACATTTTGCTCCTTTAGTCACTTGAGTAGGTTCAGTTCCTGACTAATCACTGATAAGACAAATCATCTTTAAAAGTTTGATGCTTGAGACAGACAACAGGGGAATTTTGTCACTCTCACACACACACACACTGTGGGGCAGATTACAATACAGTTTTGCATCTGTAACAGTGAGATTTTGCAGTGCTTCGGGATTTTATTGTTGCATTGTGAAGCATAGTAACTGTATTTGTAGGGAAATGCAGGAGTTAATTTGTCAACCGCAATATCCCCACAAACAGCAATCAAGTGACGTCCCAATTTTCTCTCGATGATAATGTAGTTTGAAATTTTCTTCAGGGATCTGCATTTTGACTGCATGTCAATCTCTGTAGAGCATTTGGTGGCTTCATTGCATTTTTGCCAACAAAAATTACCCAAGTCGCTAAATTTTACAGTGAAGCAAGACATTCTTTCAATGTAAAAGATGCTATATGAACTGCACTAATTATTATCTGGCAAACTGAAAGCCTGACGGAGACTTAATAACAACATAAAATATTCCTTAGACATCTTAGTATAATGGGTAATTGATTCTGACCCTTTATTATTGGATCTCTTAACGCACAGGCAGAATGGAACTTAAAACTTTTATTACCTCCTGTACACACGTTGATTGATTACACAGTAGTGGACCTTAACGGAAAACCACAACCTCCATCGTTAATTGATGATGCCAACAACATAAAACAATTTAAGGTAAGCTTGCATCCATGTGGACTCGCAGGATTAAAGTGCATGTTAATGAATTGCAAAACTGTAATGGTTATAGCTGATTTTTCTTTTGGTCAGCTGGGTACCTGCCACGTGTGGAAATTTCTCACCATGCTTAAAAGTATCCAAACCACAGCAACAACAATTTGCGTTTATATAGCGTCCGCCCTTCACGCAAAGCTGCATCTGAGCACTTAACAGTAGCTGAACCTCATGCCGAACGGGGGGGGAGGGAGGAAGTGACCCTATGCACAGTCAATGAAAAAGGTCTTCAGTCATGATCTAAAGGAGGCCGTAGAGGACACAAGGCAGAGGGTTTGATGTAGAGAGTTCCAAAGCTTCGGGATGTAGTGGCTGAAAGCACGGCCGCCGATACTTGGTGAAGGAGACGGCACGAAGGATGAACAGGAGGCCAGAGCCAGCCTAGCAGAGGCAGGGGATAATGGAGTGGAGTAGGTCGGAAAGGTAGGGAGGTGCCGGGCATGAAGGGATTTGTAGATGAGAGAAGATCTTGAAATCATTCTGTGAAAGAGGGCCAGTGGAGGTGTGATGGGGGTACAAATTTTAGTGTGGGTGAGTATATGGGTGGCAGAATTTTGAATCAGTTGTAGTTTGTGGGTATTGAAGCTAGGGAGACCGACGAGGAGGGCATTGGAATAGTCGAGGCAGGAGGTGATGAAGGCATGGGCAAATGTTTTGGGTGTGAGGCACAGTCGGAGGCGGGCAGTATGATGGAGGTGGAGCGACCTTGGTTTAGGGCCGAATGTGGGAGAGGAAGGGCAGTTGAAGATTGAATCTGACCCCTAGGTTAGGTAGAAACCAGACTGGGTTCTACATATGTATGGCAGTTGTAGCTGATGAGCCTTTTTATTAAGGTATATATGAACTGTGGCAAGTAAGTCTCTAACAAGGCTACAAGACCTGCTGCCTAGTCCACTTGCTTGGTAGTCATTTCCATGTTTAATGCATCTCCGTAACTCTGAAATTGTCTTAGTGGCATCTGGTTTCCTCACATGTAATGTTTTGGTTTCTTTCACTTATGTGGTAAAAGTTGGATTGTCTGCCATTTTATGGTCTTTGAGTGTTTTTCAACTACCTAACCTACTCTGCAATATCTCTGCTGTGTGATGTGTGCAAGTTTTCATTTTGTGTTTCGTCACTGTATCTCACTGCAACTCCTTTCAGAAAAACTGCATTGTGGTCCCAGAAAAATATCTTACATACCCTGATTTGAATGGCGTCCTATTCATTTAGAAATCTATTTCAAGTCTTCTGGCCTAAGCATTTATAATTCAAGCTCTGTCTTGTGACCAATACACAATTCTCTTTATATTGTCACTAAGAGCTTAAATCAACCAAATTTAATAAGCACATTTTATAATGTGTATAGATGCTACAATTAATTGTACTTTGCTACGTTTTGTGACTGTAATATTTAGCAACGGCATGGTATGAAGGTCTTGAAATCAATCGAGTGTCTCTTTACAACTTTATACTGTTTCATCTTTGGGATGGGTTCATTCAGGTATGGGTTTCATTTTGATAATGGCTGTGTACATTGTAAAATAATACTAGTTTCTTGATAAAGTTGCCATCGTCATTCCAAGTGAATTAGCAGAAAACAACAAATTGCATTTATATAGTGCCTTTCACATCAAGACACCATTGGCAGTGTTTAGTCTAGTTAAATTTCATTTTAATCTATTCTGTTTTCTTCTCCTACCTCTTTGCTGCAGAACAAACTCTTTCTGTAGTTTAGTAAACAAATGTATTCACTTCTCTTGAACTCGTAATTCAGCTAATTATGTGAAATTAAAAAATAGGTAGAGCGGTTCTGCACTTTCTGTTTTTACGCTTTGAGACATCTCAATGATGTGATAAGGCGCAATATCAAATCCAAGGATTATTGTTATTACTTGTAAAAATTGAGTTGGATTTTGTACATATTTGTTCACTTCAGATGTATTTTCCTACTATAGACTGGGATGCGAGTTGGTCAGCTCACTTCAGTAGGAATGGAACAGTTGTATGCACTAGGCAAAAGGATGCGAGTTTCTTATATAGAAGAAAAGCAGTTTCTTTCTCCCGCCTACAGCCCCTTGGAGATCTAGTAAGTAATGAAGGTGTGGTTTGATGAATTTGTCATTGTTTCAGTGACAATTTTCAAATCCTTTAAGAAACTTCAAACATTTAGACAATGAACAACATATCTGAGTTGCTATAATTAAACTACTTTCTAGATACATTAATCATGGACTAATTTAGATACTTTAGATACTGTGTAGTGTTTTTAATGTATTTTCCCTTCTTCAGAGAGACTCAGTTGAGGTGATATTCAACTTGCTGGTAATTTTAATGCAGGCAACCAAGTTAGATTGGGCACTACTTAATACTTTTGTCAGCTCATCCGTCTCAGCACAAGTGTAATAGAAGGGTAAGGTTTTGAGGGTTGGAGAATTATTAATTACATTAACATTAATAATTATTCATATGTAAAGTAAGCCTTTGTCTGTACATTTGCAAACGTGTTTGATGGGCTCTACAGTGCAAGATTTATGAAGGGGGGCTGTGAATTGTGAGTTTAGCAAATGTCCAGTTAATGTAAACCTTCTAGAACTCCACTGCCAATCTTAATTTCAACTGCTGTGGAGCTAAATTCCGGCCAAAGGAGATTCCCGATTCCTTCCAGGAATTATCATCGGAACCAAGTTACAGAGGATCGGACACAACAAGGATACCCTCAGGATTCGATGTTTACAAATCAGTTTGTGGATCTCATAAATTAGACCCCAGTGTATCAATAAAGTATTATTCTGGGCACTTGTAACCATTTTAACATTTGTGGAGGCACCAAGAACTGAGACTGATTTACCTCTGTACTGGTGGACAGTGCCGTACTGGTGCACAGTAAAAAATTGGAAGTAATTGGAAAATAAAAAACATGAATGTTACTAGTGCACAGTGCTGTAAGTACACTTAAACCTTTGTGAATCGTGTTAGGTCATCTTCCTGGAGGAAATTGCATTTTAGAGGGAAAGTTATTTTGTTGGAACTGGCACAAATTGAGCGACACTCAACACAATTTGTATTAATACAACAACTTGCACTTATATCGCACCCTCCACACAAGGTAGCGTGTCAGAGCGCTTAACAGTGCCGGAGCATGACTCCGAGCCGGAGGGAGGTGTCCGTAAGCACGGTCAAAGAGGAAGGTTTTCAGGCGAGACTTGAAAAGGGGACAGAGGGGGCAAGGCGGAGAGATTGAGGAAGAATGTTCCAGAGTTTCAAGGCGTAGTGGCTGAAAGAGCGACCTCCGATGGTGGGGTGAATTAATGAAATCAGGATTCACAGGATAAAAGCATCATGCGACTAAACATCTTAGAAAATGTTAGTATCAACCCAGAGAGCGGACAGCTGCCTTGATAGAAGGATTCAATCTCCATATCCCATGGGATTGAAGACTGATATGAAGGCATGAGTGAGATTTGTCATAAAAGGGAATACCTTCTTCAACAGTAAAAAAAAGTAAAAATACTTTAGAGAACAGCTAGACTTTTAAAGTTAATGCAGCTTATTTCTGCAGCTGCAGCTTATTTCCAATCCTAGTCTTCTCTCATCCAGATGCAACAAAAACAAACCACATTTCAGTTCAGGAGGAAGTTCCAGACTTATTCATATATATTTCTGAACATGTTTTTATTTTTTATATATATGTTATCACTTGAATGTTGATATATTGAATCGTCTCTTTTGTATATTAACTGCATTATCTTATTTTAGTACAAAATAAGAAAATGCAGTTAATATAAATTAATTAGCGGAATTCTAGTCTCATAACTTACCCTATTTTTAGTTTTTTGTTTGTGTTTGGAAAATGAAAAGTAAAACTGCAAAAAGATAATATGCAACTAAATAATTGGAAGAAATTGGAAACTAAAAAGCATGAATGTTTTGTTCTGCATTGCCTATAATGCTTGGAATGATGTGTGCAAAATAATAATTATTGTTGGTTGTTGCTTTTGATATAGCTCCTTATGTCAATGAGATATCTCAAAGCGCTTCACAGAATATATTGTAAAGTGAATTGACTGTATACTTTGTGGGCAAAAATCATTTTAGATGATCCAATACTACATTTCATTGATGCTTTCTATTCTCACAATATTTAGGATCAACTTTAGATAAATAAATGTAACTTAATTTAACTTAGAAAATTAACTGAAGCTAACAAGTAAACTTTGAGTCAATGTAATGCTTTAATTTTGCTTTCAATTTAAGTGTAGCCATAGACTTTACATTTAGCTCACTTTAAGAATTTTTAATTTGTTGCACTGCGCTATTACTAGATGACTTTTTTTAACCCTTTCCCCAGTGTTCGTTCAACCAATATTGAAAGGACTATCAAATCTACACGGTGCATGCTGGCTGGTTTATTCCAGCAGAAACAGGATGGTAAGTAGTGTGTGTGTGTTTTATGCTGGTATATTATGAAATGGGAGAGAGTGATGTTCTATAGTACAACTGCTGTTTTATGTGTAGAAACCCTGAAGGAGGTTTTCTTTTTTCAGGCTGCACATGGGATAAAGCTGTGGTGATGTCATATGATTTGTACGTTGTGACACTGTTCGCTCCCGATCGCCTGATAGTGAAATAATGGCAGAAATAACAGCAGGAGATGCTGGAAAATGCCTGAGTATCAGACCCCTGTGATTCAGCCTTTATGATTTAGGTAGATGTTGAAGTCTTGAGGAGTTTGAAAAACCTTGTGAATGTGGTTTATGGTATCAGCACACCTTCATATGATGTCTGGAACATTGATCTCCTCTATCATCAGTGCTCCCTGATGCTACAGCACATGAAAAGTTTGCTGAAGGAAAGTATGCAGGTTAGGTGGGGTCCAGGATACATGGCAGCTTTTCATTACGGGGTTGCCTTTGTCAATACACGCGTACTGAAAGGACAGTATCTTACCGCACCCAGATGCTTCAACTGCCATGTTACGTGATATGAATTTAAAAAAAATTACTGGCACAACACTTCTTAATTGCTCTTTCAAAAGCTGGTTAAAATGAGGTGTTTGGTACCTGTCAGTAATAATGAATAATTCAATCAAGGTCTTATGTTTATCTGAAATTCTTGGTTTATTGACTTGAATCATTGATTGATAATACTGTATGTAGTGGGTAGAGGTTTTGTTTATAAAATAAGTTGTTTAAAAGTCCATAACTATTTGAATTATTAGGATGTTTCATTTGTGCATGAGGTTGGATTCTCCCATCCTCCACCCATACTCCTCATATTGTTTTGTTGCTAATATGGAGAACTGCATCACATTTTCTTAATTCTTTGGAGCCATCTTCACATCATGAAAAGCTTCATGATATTCTCCTTCCATGGTTTATTCTTCAGGAGTCGTCAATTATTCCTGCAGCTAGTGTCAGCTATTCCTCTGCCGGATAAGAATTTCTCTTATCTGCTTTCTAAAATTTGCATTAGCAGTTGTGTCCTACTGCTTTTCGACTTACTGCTTTGTAAGTGAACATTTTTGGTATCAGGAATATTTGCATATGCTTTGGATACTTACCCTCAGCTTCTCTCCAGGAGCTAGAAGTTCCAGTAATGTCCCACAAACAGCCATGGAGTGAATAACCAATTTTGTCGAGGGATTGTTCGCCAGAAAACCAGGAGAAATTCCCTTCTCATTTTGAACATTACCATGGGATCTTTAATGTCCGGTTTGTTTTGGTTTAACTTCTCACCTGAAGAAAGGCACTTCCAACAATGCAACACATCCTCCAGCACTACACTGAAGCATCAGCTTAGATTGACTATATGAGTTCCAAATCCCAATGTTGAACTTGAACCCATAACTTTCTGACTCAGAGGGAAGAGTGCTACCAACTGAGCCAGCCTATGTTGAAGTCCCAGAAGCATTGCTGAGTGTTTCCATAGCGTGAGTGCGATAAGGGTGTAAGCATACAATGTTCCAGAGGTGAGAACAACAACAAGATTACATTTGTATGGCACCTTTCATGTCGAAAGGACGTCGCAAGGCGTTGGACAGTGTACCGCATTTCATACCCGAGCTGGGGCCAGGGGTGGGAGAGAGGAAGGGAAGGTGGGTGACCGATGGCATGGTCGAAGAGGGGGGTCTTGAGGCGGGATTTGAAGGAGGCTAAGGAGGGGCGAGGTAGAGTGATTGGGGGATGGAATTCCAGAGGTTGGTGGCAGAGTGGCTGAAGGCTCTCCAATGGTGGGGCGGGTGGGTTGGGGGACGTGGAGCAGGCCGGAGCCAACTGAGCGGAGGGAATGGGCAAGTTGGTAGGGGATTAGGAGGTTGCAGAGGTAGGGCTGATAAGCAAGGAATTTGCATAGTCGAGCCTGGAGGTGATGAAGGCATGAACAAGAGTTTCAGTGGCCTGATGGGTGAGGTAGTGGCGGAGTCAGGTGACGTTACGGAGGTGAAGGAAGACAGAGCGGGTCATGGCTTCGATGTGGGGAAGAAAAAACAGTTGAGGGTCGAACAAGACAGCTAGGTTCCTGACTGGCTTGGTGAGTTGAAGTGTGCAACCATGGAGGTTGATGCTGCCAGAGCCTGAGGTGCAGAGGCGCTGGCGTGAGCAGTTTTCTCAGCAGATATACATCCCAAAAAGATTAAATTGTTTTTTTTCTCTTGCTTTACCTGCAAATATAGGACATGAGGAAATAGCATCAAAAGTGCAAATAAAAATATTAATTTAGGACAACTATCCAAGGCTGCAACGTCAGCAATGGGGTAGCTTGATGCTTTCAAATGTTTGTGTTGTGCATTGTATGGAAATGTATGAGCCAAAGCCAAGAGATCACAACACTCTGTCCAGTTCACATTTGGCACCTCAAGCATCAATTCAAACTCTGTCTGGAATAAGAAGATTGAAAATGGGCTGCGAAGGTTGTGAGCTCCAGCATTTGCCACTTAAACAGATATTCTCCTGAACTGATCAGGCCGGGTCTTGTGTTTGGTTAGAATGAAGAAGACCTTACTTCGTTATAGCGTTTTACCTCATTGAAATGCCTCCAAGCCCTTCCCAAGCAATTAGTACTAAGTACAGCGACTTTTTGTAGGTGGACGCAGCGTCTGTTTGAGTGAGCAAGGTGTCACAAGCATCCGTGCAGTAAACAATCAATAAAAAGGTTGTTGGCCCCGGAAAACTCTTCTTTGTTCAAAACTGTGTCATGGGATCTTTTATCACCACCTGGACAGGTAGATGGGACCTAATGCTAAGGTCTCGACCGCAATATATGAAGTCAGTTAAACACAGGTGTTTTAAATATGACATGCGGGAGATAGGTAAAAATTTAAGTATTCTACTTGCAGTCAGTCATGACCGAAATATCAAGCAAGTACCATTGCCAATTTTAACTGTGGAGCTATCGACCCACTTTAAATTCATCCCTGCAGTATCTTTCTGGCACCACAACTTCATACTTTTGTGAAGCAAAAAAGACCAGTGTTTTAAACTTAAGATTGACTCTTTTAAGGTCACTCCTACGTGATTTCTCGCTAATATTATATTCAATGTATTCAATAGATATTTTTAATTACATGGCGTAAGGAAGCAGTTAGATAACCGAAGAGTGGTATTTCATATTTAACCCTATTGAAGAGGATTTCTCATTTGATTCTTATTGAGCACAGAAAGGTTTAGAAAAAATATTCCAAACAGGCAAAGCACCATTTTACTGATAAAGAGGAAACTCTTGGGCCAGAGAAGACCACTGTATGTCCCATCTGGCTGGTCCCAAAGGATGTGGCAGAGACTCTCTGAACATTAACATTTGAGGACCACATACATTAGGGAAGATTATATGGTTTATCTATATGGCTATCTATAAACCACTTGATCCATATCAGATCTTGAACAATGACCAGTTCTTTATCTCTGTATCAATATGTTGTGATACATTAATTTTGTAAATTAGCCTATTGTGATGTTAATGTTACCAACAGCCTCAATCTAAAAAGCCTAATCCTGTGGTAGAGTGCAGCATTGCAAGACTATTATAACTAGCCTTTGTCTTCCACTGTGCTTGACAAGTGAGATGGAGAAAGAATCAGGAAATCCATAAGTAAAACGCAAAATACTGCAGATGCTGGAAATCAGAAACAAAAACAGAGATCGCTGGGAACAATCAGCAGGTCTGGCAGTATCAATGGAGATAGGAAAGTGGGTCAACTTTTCTGACAAAGGCTCATGGCCCTGAAATGTTGACCCACTTTCTCCATAGATGCTGCTTGACCTGCTGAGTATTCCCAGCGATCCTGTTTTTGTTTCAGGAAATCCATATTCTGTTTTACCGTTGAATTACAATACAGAGGTTTGTATCTGTTTGTAGGTTGACATTCTGGGAGTGAGCCTGTGTCATCTATTAGAGCTGTTTGTATTGATGGTTTATCTTGATTTGCACAGCTAAAGTGATCATTTTCACCACTGACACTGAAAGTGAGATCCTGTATCCCAACACGTACGGATGCAAACGTCTTCATATTTTGAACAGGTATTGTGTACAATTTAAGTTTTGATGCATTTCCTTTTTTTAAAAAAAATGTCTGAGCCTGGAATGAAGTGACTGGGATAAAAGTCTCCTTCGTGATTGGCTATGGGTACTTTCTTTTCTAACTACTTTATGCATGTTGCAACAAATTACTCCATTGTTCAGATATAGTGAACCAAGCTGGCACAGTTATTTTACCAATACATGGAGCACTGAAAATAATTTAGTAACATTTCTATCAGCAAATATCTACATATACAGAATGCTTGTATATGAACAGTTGATGTTTGTTCACTTCAGTTTTCTTGACTTGTTCTCTGTGTAGTGACCAAAGTAAATGCCTGATCTTTCAGGAGTTTAAATCGAACAGGCTGACGTGTGTTTTTCTTTGATGTTGTGTTCTTACTCAGACAGTTGTGGAAGAAAGTCAGAGCACAGCCTGATGTCCAGTGTGACATGAGATTGCTACAGCAATCACTAGGAGTAGTACCTGATGATAACGCTACCTTTATCGACATCATGGATGATATGATAGCACGCAAGGTGAGAACCTGTTATGGTGGCAATAATGTAGGAACTTGAGGAACCCTTTCAGGTTGACCTGCACTTTTTTGGGTACAAATTTCAGGGCGTCCACTAACACTTTCCTAAATAGGTCATCCTCAAAAACCTGGAAATCATTTCTAGATATTTCAACTGTCTGCAAAAGCTGTATTAGATTTCAGTCTATTGTACAGTAACTTTCTCAGGTGCATGTTAAAGTTCTACTGGCCCAGCCCCCATCACTCATTTTCTATCAATTTGATAGCCATATTTGGCACAAAATTCCATCATGCATTCACCAGATCATTTTTATTTAAAGCAAAACCAGATTCCAATCTCTTGTATTATTTTGTTCAATGGGGACGGATATCACTCCTCACTGTTTCTTCAAAGGGAAGAATTGAAAAAATTGATCTTAAAAGAGCCAGCACAGACACAATGGGCTGAATGGCTGCCTTCTATTCTGTAAATTTCCATGGTTTTAATGCTTAGTAAAGAACCTGTGTCATGGATGTTGATTCTTTCTCCACTTCCCTTAGTATCCTTACTTATTAAATATTTCTCTTACTTAGATGCCTCAATTCAACTTGATTTAATAATCTTACGTAACGTGGAGTCCTGTAGCTCAGTGGTTAGAGCACTCGTTTTGCAAGCGAGAGACCTGAGTTCAATTCCAGGCAGGGCGAAACCTTGGGCAAGTTTCCTTACTCCACACGCCTAATAATAATCCCTCCAAAACCAACAACAATAATAAATTGGTCATTTTCAATCTACAACTGTTTGTGGGACATTGCTGTGCCCAATTGGCTGCTGCGTTCGCCCACAAAAAAAAATACAGTCAATTCACTTTACAGTGTGTTCTGTGAAGCGCTTTTGGAAGTCCTCCCGACGTGAAAAGCGCTATATCAAATGCAAGGATTATTATTATTAGTTCCATATTCTCATGACCCCCTGTAAACTGCACATAATTGGACACAATTGTCCATAGCTGTTACTCCACTCAAGAATGACAGACTTTTCAGCATTCAGTCCAGTTTCATATTGGAAGAATAGCTCTTATTGATGTTTGTTGAGGCTGTGCTCTTTGGACCTGTACCCCAGCACAAGTTGTTATCTTCAGGAGACTAAAGAGGAAACCACATATTTTATTGCAACTACATTGCTCTCCTTCGAATTTAAAAACAAAATGTAGACTTTGTTCTCACAACCTGAAACTGACTGAAGACCAATCTGATTATATGGTTCTCTTTTTTACTTTTGTTTTTCTCTTCTGCCTGCCTTCGCCAACAAAAGATGAGGGCTTTTGACTTAAGGAACTAAAAACACTTCTGAATTTGCAACCACCTTGTAGGTGCTTTCCAGAGTTTGGAGCTATATATATATCAATCACTAATTATTTGTTGCTTAAAGTGATGATAATTCTATTTTAGAGATGTATTTTTAAAAACACATTTACTCTTCTGACTGTCCAGTTCCAGAAGTCACTGGAATAATCAGAAAGAGTCACATCTTTAGCTGCTGGAATGTATTCAGATGACTGGTTGAGGATTTCAAATTGATAGTTAGAATGTTCTAACACTTTATTTCCCTTAGGCCCATGGATTACCCCTTCCAAAGGTCCTGATGGAATGGGAAGAAACCATTAAACAACAAGCTGTGAAAACTCTTTGTAGTAGCTTCTCATTGCCGAATAGGTAATGTGTTTTATTTGTATCCAACAATGTTCTGCTCATGGGAAATTATAACAGGAACTTACCACCTCCTCCCAAACCTGTTCACTTTTTGACATTCTGTCATGTTTGAAGTACCCAAAACTTTTGCTGTCACCGCCTTACAACACATGGGTTGATGAGTCCATTAGCGAACGTTGTGCTGGTTAACCTTCATGTGCTCTTGTAACTTATTTATTAGACTGACTGACGAGGGGGAAAGAGAGGGAAAGGAATTTATGTTAGTCCTTCACAAGTGTGGGCCCATAATTCAGTACAAATATAGCACTAAATTGTCTCGTTCGTAAGAATGGCTCGTCTGGGAAGTGGAAAAATCTTCTCCTGTGAGGGAGCATTTAGTTCTAAAAGAAAAACAGCTGTAACGTTAACCGTGTGAAATGTTACATATCTAGAGTAAATCCCCCCCAGTTGTTAGAGCAGAATAGAAGGAATTTTAGCCTGCATATGCCTTATGCGCATCTGATATGGGAATGATCAATTCTGGCACTGGATTATTTTTAAAAAAGTAAACACTTGAGTTGAGTGAGAGAAGTGAAGAAGTGACCTGAATTATTACATTCATCTTGTATCTTCAGTTGTCTTGCATCAAAATACATATGTTTATTGTCCCAGAAACATAAACGGTTTCAAGATTTGTAGTAAATTTGGTTCTTCGTTTTTAAAAAGAAAACATTTTGAGGACCCTTTTTTGTCCTGGTGATTTTTAAATCTGTGTCCTTCCATTGTTTCCTTTTAGAGAAGGCCTGCAATTGTCTGTGGGGCCAGTGATCGACATGTTGCTGACCAATATCAATGACAACATTCAAGATGGCAACAGTTCCAGGTATTAGATCATGTAGCAGCTATATTTTAAACTTTGGACGGTTATTATAGTAGATTATTTTATTCCTTTAATGGTTTTGCATATTTAAAGCTCATTTCAAGCCTTTTTGAAAGTATATTGCACTAATAAAACTTTGAGGGCAAAGGACTCCCCAATACGATAAGATAAAATCTGAATGAAGGATGCCAAAGGCATGCTTTTAAAACTTCTAATTATTTTTTTACGAACACTTAAATACATACCTAGATTGTCTGCCTGCTTGTCTTTATGTTCCAGGCTTCTCATTGGTTGCAATGGTGTACAGACATCATTCAGCTGTACAATTTCCTTTGACCAGTGTAGCTTGTCAAAGTTTAATTGCAAAGTTTATTGTTTGGGTTTGGTTGTGTGAATTTGCACATATGCACGCAAGGTTCCAAAGGAGCACAAATTGTGTACCCAGCAACCTTGTGCACATACGTGCAACTTTGCACATGTGCACAATTAGATTTTTTTTGGGTTTCAAAAATAGAATTGATCTGTGCTCTTTGAGGTATAGTAACCAGACCAATTGTGGTTAATTTGTACTGTTTTGTTACTAAGACAATATGAACATCATTCTTGATTGGTTCACAATATATGACTTTAATGTGAAGTGATACTATCTTTAAAGTTGATATTGACATTACACTTTCTGCCTTTCCAGTAAACAAAAAATGTACTTGTATTCAGGACATGACACCACCCTTGTCCCTATCCTTTATGTTTTGGGCATTTTCAACTGGGATTGGCCATCGTATGCTTCCGATCTAACTTTCGAACTGTTTGAGCATCAAACATCGAAAGAGAAGTTTATGAAGGTTTCCTACTCTGGTAAGGTGAGTATCAGCAGACAGTGAACTTCTGGTCACACGCTGATCCCTGATAAATAACTAGATGATCATGTTCAGTTTAAAGTGAATGCCTTGCAGCTGTTATTTCTCGGTTGAGGTTGCCCTCCTACCTCAATAACTTAGAGCATCATTTACAATTCTCCACTGTGACACAGCTGTTAGCAAGTAAAAAGGGAACGAAAGCAGAATAAAATAATTCCCTATCAACTCCAAAGTGTGCACCAGATTAAACAAATTCCCAATCTCTATATTTAATATGAAACTTCAATGAAAGACCAAGGCCCCTATTATAGAATGCCACCAAGGTGGGAAGAGCAGCAGAGAAAACTAGATAAATACACAGTACAAACTTTTATTTATATTCTGCAGGGCCAAGGAAGTTCATGTTTGAATATGATGTTTAAATGTAGATTTTTTTTGGAGCCACCCGAGTATCTGATACACGCAGAAACCTATCATCATGCTTAAGACTATCCAAACCAAACAGTTCCATGCATCCCACCTAAACATGGAAATTCCAGAGATGTTTATTGGAATGGAATGTGATCTCTCCCCCAGGGGAAACATCCTGCTTACCTAATTCCAGAAAGTATTAGTCGCAGGTTGGCAAGAGCCAAGGCTTGGGCACTCCAGAATGTGCATTGGGGTACAGTGGAGTCTAACCAGCTAAAACCGTAGAGGTTGCCATTGATATTGCTGTCCGGCAAACTTTCCCACTACTTGTCCAGTTAACCAGAGCTGAGTGGGAATAGTCCCTGCCCTCAGTGATTGGTGTGGTCTTCAGAGGCCTGACAATGAGCCAGGCTGGCTCTGCTGTGATTAACAGTACTGCGGACCCACCTAGTGGATCATAAATCGGAAGGTATTGTATATAGCAAATGTAGAAGAGCCTCCTCTATTTTGTATCCTTGAACATAAAGCTATATATTGGTAGCTGGTACATGATTCATTCAAAAAATTGTTTGACATATCACTGCAACTATTTTGGATTTGATTCAATTTTTGGATAATTAAGGATTTGCAATTTGAGTGTTTTTCAATCTCAACAATCCTTGTTGCTGGGGCAGTGTTTCTTGTGAATTGAGTATGTGCCATAGTTCATTTGAAGAGTGTATGGATTTGTTTTGCTTAGCGATTTTTTTCTCTCATTTTGTGTGTAGGACCAGTTAGTGAGGGGCTGCAGTTCCATCTTCTGCCCTCTTGATGAGTTCCTCAAAGTATTTAAATGCTGCACACTCAACATGGAGGAATACAACACCCTCTGCGATGATATAGACAGCCTTCAGAAAGAAAAACAGAGCAAATAACTTAATTTACCATTTCTGATTATTATTGCCTCAGTACTTGAATTTTTAAAGTGCACGAAAAGATTCTTTGAAAGAAGTAATGATCCAGGACAATCTCTGGGCTGAACCCATTGGTTATTTACTGACATTAGGATTTTCTCATTTACGTGTGTGTGTGTTGGAAGGGGGTTATATTTATTTAATTGTTGCTAATTCCTTTGTTGCTCATTCATTGGAATAAGGAACAGAGGAATGAACAGGATAGGAAAAGAGCATAGTGGTCCATCTGTCGAGCTCCCAAAGTTGAATAATTTTTTTTAAAAAAAGATTAACTATAAAATGTGACCTTGCACCTTGCGGGCAAATGTAAAAAGGCACAGGGAAATATATTGGGTATAAAGCTCAAGGGCAGGACGCAATTGGTAGCATAGGCTTGATGGGCACAATAGCCTTCTCCTGGATTCTATCCTGTGGAGTCCTGTAGCTTAGTGGTTAGAGCACTTCTGGCAGGGCGAAATGTTGTGCAAGTTTCCTTACTCCACATGCCTCTGTTTACCTAGCAATAAATAGGAACCTGGTTGTTAGTTGATTGGCAGATCGCTTTTCTGGGGATAATAATGCCTTCAAAACATAAATAATAATTTGGTCACTCAATCCACGACTGTTTGTTGGACACCGCTGTGCACAATTGGCTGCTGAGTTTCTCCCACAAAATATATAGTCAATTCGCCTGTGAAGCGCTTTGAGACACCTAGAAGACATGATAAAGCGCTATACCAAAATTATTATCATTTTTGACCCATTTTTACTAGCAATATCTTGCTCTTGCTCCTTTTGGAGAAGTTGTGTTTTTATCTTTGTGAGCTGGTTGCTAACTATAGCCAAACTCTGTCTCACTACAGTCATCATTTCAAAGTTTGTGTTGACATATTCTATAGTGCTTACAGCATGGTTTTATTTTGTTTTACTATCTTGTTTTGTTTGTTATTGAGTCCCCTCAGGTACATGCCTATAAGTACGGTTTAGATTTATCTTCCAAAGAAGTGAGCCTCGTGAACATGGAGGATAAACAAATTGAATTGTTTTATTGCCAGCTTTTCATATGATCTAACTCATTCGTTCAGTGTTTATCCTCAACTTACATAGCTTGCACCACTTGGTGTGCAGTGGATTCCTTCCTTAGATCACCCTTGTTGACTGCCTCACTCAGACAAATAGTGTGTCCTGAAGCTACAACACTGAACTGGAAGGAAATGATATTCCTCTTGCAAGAGCACAATAAGCAAGACTGAATAGAGAGTGCTCCTAGGGGTTTCTTTGACCTCTATTCAACTGTAGACCTATTGCGAATGGAAGCTGAACTACATTCAAATGAACATGGTAGACAATATTGAGAGATCGAGAGAGATAGAGATGTTTGTAAATGAGAGTTATACTTGCAGATTAATAAATCTTGCTGAGAAACAAAACAGTATATTCCCAGCAATTTGAGGCATTGTTTTATTTTATTCACCGATTACCTCTCAGAAACATGAAAGGTTTTTGATACTGTTTGATTGAAGAGTTTTTCAATTAAAATCATTCAATATTTTGCATTTCCTGTTTTGATCTCAGGTAAAGGGTATGCTTGTTGCACACTTCTTTTAAATAACACTGTTATGCAGTTTTGCACCACATTTAATATTGTGGAAACATTACAAGTGTACATACCTAAAGAACCAAGTTCTCTGCTATAATAATAAAAATATACATTTTTTGATTTGATTTAAAGGCTGTTTTTGTAAAAGTTTTCAAAAATGTCAGTTATGCACAGAGCTAAGATGATATCTACATTCCTAACACTTTCAGCTAAATAAGCACCATGTTTTTTAAAAAAATATTTGGGTGAATTAGATTGTGAAGTTTTTTTTAAGTTATAAATATCATATTACTCTAGTGCAGTAATATATTACAATTTGCCAATAGTAGAAAATGTATGAAAGGGAAACGGATTTGGAAAGACAACTAAAGCAGTGCTTTTCATACAAAACTGATGTCAGCGAAGCAGTTCTATGAATGCGGTGTGATCTGTAAGTTGTTATAAATTGGACAAAACAATAAGTCAGGTGTTTAGGTGTGTGGAAATTGCATGCCCTGACTCCAATAGCAATGAGACTAAAAACATACAAAGCTGTTGAATTTTGTATTTTTCTTTCCTTTTGCACTTTGTATTACACTTAGTTTGCTGAATAAAGGCTACTTCTTAAGAGGAAAACATAGTCACCAATTATTTTGATAATAATATTTCCAACTGATACAGTGCCTTTTTTGTCAGTAGGATGTCTTCACAGGATATGTGACCATTGTATTTCTGTTTTCTGTTCATATTTGGTCATGAATCTCGTAAGTTTAATAAGTAAATGTTTTGGATTGTTGGTGAATCTGTTTACTATGCATGCTTTCAAGGGACTCCATATTCCATCCAATTCAGTGTTTCTTTGTGTTGGTTTCTATACATGCACGTAGGCATACAAAATTACATGGGTGAATCTAAGTAATTGTTTGCAACAGTACCTTCCTATCATTGGCAAATTACTGTGAACGCAGTTACACAAATTCATCCACTACCTTTATTTTACTGTCACAAATGAAACAGTGTAAAGTATCAAAACAGAAAGTAAAGAATATAATCAGTCATGTCATTAAACAATTACAAAAATGCAGTTCATACATCAGATCCAATATCTTCGATCTCCCATTTGATGTGACATTACATAGGTAATGGTTGCCAATGGGTAAAAAGATGATGTTTGTCACAAAGTTCATGTAAATAGAAGAGCCTGATATCTGCACCACTTGGGACCGGCCCCATTGTAAATATGAAAACAGTGCAGACATCAGGTCATCATGCAAAATACAACATTCAAAATACAACATTCAACACTTACCAAAAATGTCCTCTGTGAAGGGCTTATGCTGTCGCTGCTGTAGCACCACACAGTGCCAGCTCTTTTCACCCTGTCTCCTATAACTCCCCTGTGCACTGTATCAGATTTTCTCTGCCTCTTTTTCTCTCAGACTATCTATGTGCGTGTTTCTCTCTCTAACTTGCTCTCAGTCTCCATCTGTCTCTCTCTTTGTCTTGCTCTCTAATCTTGCACTGCATCTGAATGAAGAAACGGAATAAATCCTGTTCCCTGTAATACAATCAGGTAAATGTCTTTCTCAACCTAAATCTTAATGTCCAGTATGTAATCTTATCCATAGTGTGTAAGCTCTCAACAATACTTAACCACCATATAAAGAATATAAATATTCTTCACCTTTCTTGTTCTAATGATAGTTCAGACTTGAATCCTTGGTAGCTCAATGCCAGCCTAGTTTGTTTATAGTTATGGTCATGCTTTTCCCCTGCAATCATTGAAACTGACCCACTGTTCCACCAACAAGACTTAGTGCCTCTGAATGTTGATGGCTGTTAATGCACTTGGAATGAGAGTTGACAAAGCACTGCAGGTTGATGATCCCCTCTAAAAAAAAATTTGCTAATTTTATTTGACTTAATCCTAGCCAGCTATCAGCCAAACGATGAGCTGAAAAAACACCTAAACTATGCAAATTGAGCTTTCTCTAAATCAGATGACTGAAGTTGAACGTTCTTTGCTTCCCAAGTTTCCCATAGCATGTGATTTTATTATATTTTAATTTGAGCCCAGAATCTCCTCCATGCCTCTGTATCCCACAGGTTTGGTAGAATTCCAGGCCAACATTTCTCCATTTCAACTCTCAAGTTTGCTCACAAAATACACACAATCACATCCACTTTATACTATATCCTGTGAAGCATATTGAAGCATCTCAATTACGTGATAAGTGACTATATCAAATGCAAAGATGATGATTATTATATAAGTACTGTACTGCAGAAATGCTATTTGTTTTGGGTGTGGGAAATAGAGCTTATGGATGGGCAGAATATATTACACAACAAATTTTTTGCTGATTGTTGTGAAATTAGGTTAGGGTGTCAGTGCAGAAAACAATACCTGATGAATATCAGTCGGCAAAATTGTTAAAATAACTGAGAAAGAAAAATCGATATCTGATCAAATAAATCACATTTCACAAAATAGAAAAATTCCAGCTAAAGGACTAACTAAAAAACTAAGGCTTTTTTAGTGGCCTCAGTGTGCGGCAGTATGAGTTTTCATAACTTGCATTACTCACCCCCCACCGAGCACGCGAGGAGACAAAGAGGGAGGGAGAGGGCACATGGATGCCTGACTGTCTGCCATTCCGGCTTTCGACACTCCCGAGGAGCTGTAGTCCTGCCAACCCTTCCGCAGCAGTGCCCGCAATCCGCGCTTGACTGCAAGGTCATGCAGTCGCGTGTTTACATTAAGAATTACAGGTGGAATATTCTTTTTGGAAATGCGCTTCCCAGGTTTTCTATGCTTTATACCTTACGGTAATGGTGACTCCGAACTGTGATGATTTCCTCACCTCTCAAGGGTGATCAGGGAGGGCAACAAACCATTGAGCTGCCACAGCAACACTGCAGTATAGCCAGATTGTAAAGCTTATTTCCAGGAGGACAGGTGAAGTGTAAGACTCTTGGCTCCTTACAACTCATTCCTGACTTCTCGCTTCAGCAGATTCTGCTCACTCATTGTTGCACCAGTAAGAAAAAAGAACTTGTATTTTCATAATATCACAACCTCTCAAAGTGCTTTATTGTCAAAGTGTATTAACTTTTATAGCCAAAAATAGTGATAGTGATTCTGGCTTGAATACTGGGAGAAAATAAGCTTCAATGTTTACTAATTAGCAGCAACAATGCACAATTCACAAAGGGTCAGAATGATATACTGATCTGCAGCAGCAATATTCAGATGGCTATTTCTGATTGCCTGACATCTTCTCTAATGTGTTAAAATACTTAATTAATATAATAAAACTTACATTTATTAAAACTGTACAATGGCTTAATGTGACAAATTTTTTATGGGTTTCTTGGTAAGCCTATTTCCATTAGGGAAGTTGCCTTTGTAAATTGACATTAAATGGGCTGAAGCCCTTTCTTTATCCAAACTTCACCGTCCTTGGAATGTCCACCCAACGTGAAAGTCACTATACAAATGTAATTTTGTTGTTGTCACCATCAATGGCACTTCTTGGCAATATCAGGTTTTTGTGTTGTTAGCAGCAGCAATGCTTTGGCCAACTTAATCCTTTCAGAATATCCACCTTACCATCTTCCCATTACACTTAAAAACTTTCTGAACTCGGTCCTCACTTTCCTGGTAACCTGTTTTAGGTATTGACCACTCTGTGTCAAAAAAAAGGACTTCCTGGTGTCTTCTACAATTGCCCTTCACAACCCTGCTGTCCACCCCCACTTGCAGAATATAATTTAACACACAAAATCTTTATTACAGGGTTAGAAGTTATTAACAGTAAAGGTAGAAAAACCTAATTTTTTTTGAAATGTTAAAACTTGTTTTTCTAACTTATAGAAATAAAGATGATATAACCTTAATGAATAGGTGTCTTTTCAACTGCACAACTAAGTCATTATTTCAGTGAGTTATACAAACAGAATGAGATGTTTAACCACTTATTTTTTTAAAAATCAACCAAAGCTTCAACTTAGTACAATTCATAAAAAATAGACTAGGCTCAAAGCATAAATAAAACCTATTCACTCTATAACAGATGTGGCCCTATTAGCACTGACAGTATTTACCTACTGTCTGCAGCTCTCTGGTCAAAGTGCTGGCAGGGGCCTGTGTACATTTATATTAACAAATACCAACCCTCTTTGAACTTTAAATATAGGCTGCACAATACAAAGAACATTTTAAATATTGCTCTATTACATCTGTGTTGCTGTGAAGAGTTGGGAGTAACCTAATAGGCTAATTGGTTGAGAATGTAATACAGACGAACCCTATTAAAACGTGCTTTTTGGGATCCATAAATCCAAGGTCTGCGGAAGTAAAGCCAAAATGACCACAGCAACAATATCATTTATTGGGTGCTGCGTGGGGTGTGTAAGATAAGTGCATCTGGCGCCATTGCCTGACAAAATGGCTGTCTCTGACACTACTTCCTGCACACTGCTCATGGCTTCCCGTCCTAAACAATGGCCAGCTTCTTGGTTCTCAGACTGCTCCCAAAATCACTCCTGTGGGTGAGCACTATGCGCAAATGTTTGCTGCACATATCATGCATGTACAGCGCATCGGAGGTGACATGAGCAGCAATTTGGTGACTGAAATCAGCCAAATTTCACATACAGCAAGAAGCTGCAGGCCAAAACCAATAAGGAGCTCCTTTATAATAGGGTTCCAATGTACTCGTCACTTTACACAGTACACTTGTAATGAAACAATCATAAACTTAAAATTGTAATCCTATGCAAATATAAAGAACATTATTGGAAATAAATCTCATTTGGACACACAGTCTAACTGAAGAATGGGAAATAATGAAAAAATGTTTCAAATCAAATAGTCAAAAGATGAAAACCATGCAAATACGTAATTTCATTAAAGTCGGTGAATCTGCCATTAAATTCTTTCAGTCTTTAATATGTCACTCTGTGTTTAGAACAGGTGAATATTCCTGGTACAGAATGCAGTGTTTTATCTTTATTGTTTAGAAAGAAAAAGGCAAATTTAATGGAATCTATCTTAAACTGATTGTAATATGGAATACCATTATTTCTGCTATATCTTTACAGTAATATTTCCTATTGTAAAGCTGTTTTGAAAAGATAGCTACTTTAACAAATAGCATAAACTAGAGCTTGGGGGAATGGGAAGAGACAGAAAAATTGGATAAGGCTATTGCACTTAAACAACATCTAATTCCTCTTTGGTGCCACTGGCAGGGCTCTGGGTATAGGGCAAAAATCCCATCACAAGTCCAGATCCAAAGGTATCTAATGCATGAATAAAATTACAGAAACTCTGTCAATCTTCAAACATCTATGTGGAGCACATCTTCTCATTTCATACCTTTCTCTATTCCAAGTTGCTATGTTTCAAACATTATTACTCGTATTGGTTAAATGAGATCTCGCAAATCTTGTTTGGACCACTGGAGGGAGTCACCATGTGAGATTGAAGTCGTGGCTCACTGATGTTCAATGACTTATTATAGTCAAACTGCACATCTAACAGCTAAACCTAGAATCTGGTCAGGGCTCACAGAGGTATTTGGAGCATAAATTAGAGAACAGCCTTGGTGCTGAAAATGAGCAGTCAAAACAAAAGGTTCTTGATGCTGCTTAATATATTACTAAAAGTCTATTGTCAGTAGCTTGGTTTGGATACTCTTAAACACAGTGACGAGCTTCCGCATTTGTCAGACACCCAACGGACTAAACAAATTCCCAACTCAAAATTTTAAGGTATTACACTTGTGACATTTTACACAGTTACCATTATTGAAAGGAATACAGATTATAGACAAAGCATTTCTTCATTGCTGATTTCTACCTTCCTCATTCTGTAAAACAAGTTATTTTAGTGTCTTTTAATTTTGTATTTCGAGTCACTGAACAAGAAGCCAATAAGACGTTTACTTTTGAAGTTAAACAAGTTGGCATTTACCAAAAAGGAGGTAATGGAATAAAATGAGCAGTAATTAACAGTCAGAAGTTGTACGTCGAGGAAGGTATTCATTACATATACAGTAATTAGAACTTAGGTGTATTTGTTTGATGTTGCGGACATACCTCGGTTGACCAAAATTTATCAATGATAAAAGCATGTTTAATGTAAAAAATGATCAATCTAGTGATATTCCTGTAACACTAATGCATTACACAACTGCAAATCCAGCTAGACTGCAGGAAATTGCTTTTGGGACATTTGCAAATTTCCATTAAACCGTCAGGTCGTCTGACTTTGCCTTACTGCTTGCCCTGCTGCACTTGCTTAGGCGTCGTTTATCTTTGTGTGGTGTCTCTTGGAGACTTATTTCTGGAGCTGTCGCATTTGGGGTTTCATTGTTGGTCTGTGCATAATTCAAGTGAATAAAGGCTCCGTTTAGCACATCATTGTGTTCCCTGTCCCGTTCTGTTGCAAAGTTGGCACAATTCTGTTGACTAGCCAGTTTGTTACTGAAAGGATTATTCCCACCATTCTGATTCACTGCAGAATGGTTAAAACCAGGCAAGGGAGTGTAGCTGTGGGGTGAAGAGCTCTCCAGGGCATTGTGATAGCCTGGTGGAAGACTGTGATCCTTCTTGGAGTTGTCACAGATAGCTTCATTGTTGTACTTATTGCTCAGTAGTTCCTTGAGCTTCTTCCATCCAAGATGATAAAGCTCGAGCAGACTGAGGAAGAGTGAAAGTCCTGCCACAGCGAGCATGAATACAATGAAGATATTCTTCTCTGTAGGTCTGGACAGGAAGCAGTTGACAGAGTTAGGGCATGGCCATCTGTGGCAGTGAAACATTGGTTTTAAAAAGATTCCGTATATTAAGTATTGACCAAAAATAAAACCCACTTCAATCACTGAACGGACTAATATGCTGAACACATATGTTCGCAGTAAAGCTCCTTTCAGTGCAACTTTACAAACCCCATCCTCTTTTATATGCACTGTGACTTTCTCTTCCAAATATTCTTTCTCCTGAAAGAAAGGCTCGTTGTCTTTACTGGCGTGATTCTTCTCTTCTTTCAGTTTTCTCTTCTCTTCCATCCGCACAATGTGCATGGTGTGGGCCATGTAAAAAAGAGACGGAGTGGAAACAAATATGATCTGAAGTACCCAATATCTGATGTGGGAAATAGGAAAAGCTTTATCGTAGCAAACGTTTTCACAGCCAGGCTGTAGGGTGTCGCACTCAAAGTCAGAATTCTCATCCCCCCAGGAAGACTCCGCTGCTGTTCCCAGCACCAGGATTCTGAAGATGAAGAGCACCGATAACCATACCTTTCCCATCACTGTTGAGTGCTCCTGCACTTGCTCAAGGACATTGCCCAGAAAACTCCAATCACCCATCTCTGCACAAATCTGGCCTTAATACCTGTGAAGGAAAAGTAATACGATCACAAATGGCATCTGAGGGTTTCAGTCTATTGATAGCTGTTGGATTCAAAAAATCTGATAATCCAGATCTGGTGAAATCCTAACGTTTGGAATGTGTGGTTTGGGATAATGTATTTACAATACAATGTAATCCTCGGTCCTCTTTTTAGTCTTTTTAAAATGACATTATTTTATATTGTTTAGTGTCATGAATTGCACTAATAAAATAATATAACTTTTACCAAAAAGCAAATTGTGTATATTATGCTAAAGAAAAACATAGCGAAGACCCTTTACATCATTGCCTTTAAAACACCAAAAATTGTCTAAATTGTCTAAAATGTCTTGTCCCCAAGGAGTCAGAAATTTGTGGGTTCAAGTCTAGGCTGACTCCAGTGTAGCGCTGGAGGTGTGCTGCATTGTCAGAGGTGCGGTCATTGGATGAAATGTTAAACTGAGTTCCCAACTGCTTGTTGAGGTGGTTTCTAAAGTTCCCATGGCACCAAAGAAAAAAAGAACAGAATTCCTCCCAGTGTCCTGGCCAACAATCTCCCAAATGAAATTAGTCATTCATCTCAAGATTGTTTGTGGGACATTGCTTCATGCAAATTAGCTGTGCGTTCGCTACAAATTACACAGGCACTATACTTTACAGTATAGCCCATGAAGCGCTTTGAGACATCCTTTTGATATGATAAGGCACTGTATTTCCGATGTTCCGACAAGCTACCCCGCGTGAAGTGCAATAGTTGTTATATACAAAATACAAGGGAAAATAAAGGAAACAAAGATCTATACTGCACATTGATTGTGGCTTAAAGAAGTTATGCTGTGTAGTCCTATTCTGAGTAATTTAGTTATTTGTTTTCTATCTGGGGTTGAATTGACATTACAAAGCACTATGTGTTTTGCTGCTGTCAAGTCTAAGCAACCTCATGGTCACCCAGTTCTTTTTTTAGCTTTTTTGACACTGCAACTAGGATAGCTTCAAGGGCAGAACTAAATTGAGGATCTCTGAATGGTCTGACAAAATGATCACTAAAAAAACCTCAGTGAAGTAACAAAACATATGTGTGAGATTATGCACACTTCAGATTAGCACAAAAATATCAGCATTTAGTTAACAGCATGATAAGATGCTCCTGATCTGCAATCACAGCATGATAATATGCTACTGGCCTAAAATACAGAGCAATCAAAGATTTTCAAACATGTCTGAGGAGAAGATAGGTTTAGAGATATTGCATGCAAAATTTTCTGTATTGGGAATTCTGTCATATCCATGTTAAAAATGAATGACCGATTATTCTGAACGATTGTTGGCTAGGACATTGGGAGAGACTCTCACTTTGAATGGTTTCAGGTCCATGTAAATAGGCAGACAAATCTTTGGTTAATGTCTCATCCAAAGGACAAAACTACTGACAATCAGATGGTTTCCCAAGCACTGTACTGGAATGTCTGCCTGGACCATGAGCTCAAATCTGATTAAGGAGGGAACCATAAGAAATATGTGCTGTATTAAATAATGTGATGTACCAGAGAACTTTAAATTGGTAGGTGAGGGTTTTACCAATTATTACAATAGGCTGTTCCTTAAATTGGAAGAATAAAGTGTAGGAAACTCCGTGAGGGCCTGGTAAATCAAGGCACAGGACCAGCTTGTTATAACAGACCCATAAAATCAGACAGTGTTATAATGGGTCTGTGAAATTAAAGAGCTATCAGTCCTGCTTCTGGGCCGTTAGTGTTACTGTCAGCTTCCAATAAAGACTGGACAGCTTTCAGTGGAACCCTTAAGTAGGCCGCACTTCTGGACACCAGTTTGATCTCCAATTGTTCAGAATGGATCAGTAAAACGCACACAAAGAGATCCAACTGCTGATTGATTTGAAATCAGCTAAACTCAGATCTCACGAGTATTGGACATGTGACTTTCCAATCTGTTTGATTTAGTATTATTCAATACGATCCATTTAATCTGTGAAGCGCTTTTGAGACGTTTCAAAGACATGATAAGGCGCTATATCAAATACAAGGCTTATGCTATATCTTACTGGTGTGCAAGTCTGCTTAGAGGAGCAGAGAAAAGCGACAAAAATGTAAAAGAAGCTTAAATTAAGAAGTAAAAATAAACAAACGTATTTAATGAAACAATAAAATAAATTAAGATACTTTTAGGCTAGTTTGATGTACTTTTAAAACAAATTATAATCTTTCTTAGAAACTGATGTGTTATCCAGCCAACTTTCTCACGGTTTGCATTACTGGCAACTTATCAACTAGTTTATACATAGATCAGAGCAGGGTTACTCACAGAAATTACAGCTACTTTATGGGAAAATGGTCAGTTTAAGATATATGCATGAAATTTATATTGTCAACTTTTGTTGACTTTCGGGACTATTAAAGTGATCTATATTTAATCACAAAATGATGAATTGCAAACTGAAAGTTGCATTTAAATGGAACAAATCCAGTTTAGAAATATTTGAGACCCAATTCAGTAATGTCAATGATTCCACTAAATTGCAGGTTTTAAGAACAAGCCTAGTCCTAACAATTGGGATTTTGATGACTCCTGTGACTAGGTTTGGAGATAAAATCATCAGCACATGTAGTTAAACAACTGACAATCTGTTAACACTCCATACTCAGTTTATAAATAGAATAATTCTGTCTTTGAGAGAAATGAATCAAAACTTTCTCAAGTCACTCAGTCACAGTTCCCTTCACAGGCAGAACCGGGGTTTTGGTTCGTTTTCTTCCTCATCATTCCCCTTTGCCAAACTCCATGCATGTACTTAACTACGGGCACTGGGATCATCATTCTGCTCCAGCCTAAATTAATTTGAAGTCATTCACAGGAAGGCATTGTAAAAGCGCCGATAACACCTCTGAAGTGTGTGTCCTTCTAATGTCAGCCTACAGCTAGTACTTCATACTCATGACAAAATTGCACAGTTAATCTCAGCAGACGAGTATCACACTAAAGCCCTACATGCAAGCATTGCGAAAACTATTACATAGTTAAACCATTGCACTTCACAAGAATTCCCACATTCCTTGTAATCATGCCTAAACTTTATCACAATTTTATATTGAGTCACTGTCGTAAAAAGGAACAATTTTGAATGCAATTACATTAACATGCTACAGGCATTCTAACAAATGATCCTAGTATTCAGTAATAAAATGAATGATATGATCTTATAACTAACCACAGAACAATCTCTCTCAACTCAGAAATAGTAAACATTATCTATTCGGGAGTGCATCTCAAAGTGCTTCACACAACTTACTATGAGCTAAAACTAGGGGGTGTGGGGGGGTGGAAGGTGGCTGAAACTAGGATCAAAAAGATAGGTCTTATGGTAGATTCCGAACCTTGGGAGGAACGTGCAAGGCAAAGGGACTCCAGGATAAAGTTCCAGAGAACTGGAGGGATGGCTGAAAGCTTGTCCACCATGATGGAGGGAGGCCAAGGAGGCACTTGAAGGTAAGGGCAAAAGTCTTAAATTTGATTCGCTGGAGAATGGGCAAGCAGTGGAGCTGAGCGAGGATGAGGTTAATGGGGTTATAGAGACTGGTGTGGGAGAAGACCCAAGCAGCAGAGTTCTGAGTGTCCTGGAGCTTGTGTAGGGATGGAGCTGATGACCTGATGAAAGTGAGACCGAGGGTCTGTGCAGCCCAGGAAAGATGTAATGACTGAGTCAGGCAATGATGTATAAGTTAGGGAAAGCTGAGTGAGTGAGAACCCGGACTTGAAAGACAAATGGGAGTTAAAGGCATGGGGATTTTGCATGGGTAAATAATATATAATAATAATAATAATAATAATCCTTGCATTTGATATAGCGCTTTTCACGTCGGGAGGACGTCCCAAAGCGCTTCACAGAACACACTGTAAAGTGAATTGACTGTATATTTGTGGGCGAACGCGGCAGCCAATTGCGCACAGCAATGTCCCACAAACAGTTCCTGGGTTGAAAACGACCAATTTATTATTGTTTTGGGTTTTGGAGGGATTATTATTAGGCTCTGTGTGGAGTAAGGAAACTTGCCCAAGGTTTCGCCCTGACCTGCCGGGGATTGAACTCAGGTTACCAGCAGTTGTTCTGTGGTTATTTACAAGATCATATCATTCACTTTATTATTGAATACTAGGAGGTAGCATGGACATCTGTATACAACAAAAACATTACATTTGTATAGTGCCTTTGTGTCGGGAGGACGTCCCAAGGCGCTAGACAGTGTACAGCATTTCAGACAGTTTAGATACAGTATATACTGTCAACGTCTGAGATGAAAAGCCAAGAAGGTGAAGAGCCTTGGTTTTGTTGACATGGAGCTTTGGAAAGCCAGAGCTCATCTAATACTCGATGAAATCTATATTTATATTAAAAACCTCCATGCATATTTAAGCTTTCATAAACAATAAAAACATACAAAGAAGTCAAACACTTGCAGAATGTATAATACAATTTACATTTACATAGCGCCTTTCACATCATGAGGATGTATCAAAACTGAATGAATCCTCATTTATGCAGAATAGTTAGCAATTCTTCCAAGAAATCGCTTGCATTCATGTTTGTCTACATATACACAGTCACTTCATTTTCACAGTAAATCTTGTGGGCTCAAAGTGTTTTGAGACATCCTTCGATGTGATAAGGCGATATACCAAATGCAAGGATTCTTCTTATTATTATCATTAATTAATTAACTAGACATAATCCAATGTAAGGGAAATCCGATGAATCCTGTCATACTTTATATAGATGAAGTTTGAAATATTTTCTCAACTACTACTTTATTCTATATCAGAAGTACTCAACATTTTCCATATAAACTAACTAGGACCTCGTAGTTTTCCATAAAAAGAATAAAACAGGCTTACCAGCAGAGATCACAGACTGGAGTGGTCACACAGAGCAGATACTGGCAGATTGCTATTCAGAGTTTTTGCTTCCTTCTTTTGAAATCTTTATTGTTGCTTGTACTTGTGCACAGACATTAGTAGAGTGCTGCTCCTCACTGTCTCAAAGCTACTGCTTGCTGTTGAAAAGAGAAAGAAGGCAAGCAGCTTCTGGGTTGTTTTGCCTTTTTTTTGCCTCTGCAGACAGACAGAGGCGATTGGTCTTGTCCTTTCAAGTTCTACTTCAGTCTGGTTGATACTGTATTAGCAATCTGATACCTATAGATTATCCTCCTCCCTTTTGACTCTGGCTCCTCACCATCCAATCAGCCTGTGGAGCGACCAAGTACAAGCTCTGAGCTTTGAAGCAATTGATATTTTTATTACAAAATAAGGAAATACGAGTTTCATTTCAAAAGTGGAATGCTGATAAAATTGCAACTATAAGAAGCCTCGCTAGGTACCCTGTAGCATTTTCCTTGCTGAACTTGATGCTTTTTATTCCTAGTAAGCAATTCAAAGACGCCTTTATTGCTTTTCAATGAGTACCTCTGTACTCGTGTGAAATGCCTTTTGATAAACAGTAGGAAATTATACTCTATGGTTAGAGTCAAGTGACTGGGGTAGAAAATGTGACATTAAGTGTGTTAATTATCACCAAGGATCACATTGTACATGATTTTTTGGGGTCAGCCGGGTGTCCTAATAAGCATATTAGGCACAGATATGTGTAGCGAATTTAAGAAAGATTTTAACAAAATGTACCACTTTTTTAATACTGTATTTTTTATCCTGAATTTCTCCCATTTTTTTGACATGAAAAGTAAAAATAAACAAAACATACAGTCACTACACATTCCAGTAAATTCTGTGAAGCGCTTTGAGACGTCTAGAAGAGCCAAGGCTTGGGGACGTAGGATATGCTTTGGGGTCCTATGGAGTCTAACCAGCTAAAATTGAGGAGCAGCTGTTTAACCAATCAACTTGGAAACCAAGCACGCGATGTACCAACACGGGTTCACAAACGTGGACTCCAGGTACTGCCTTCCAGCAGCTGTCACCCCAAGCCTCAGAGTTTCCTCATCATAATCTGTAAGTGTTGAAGCTGTTTGGAGTTATGCTGCAAGTTTTTATTAGTGTCTGCCTTTTTTTTTGTGTTCCAAAAGATTTTAACGAAATGCACCACTTTTGCTGTATTTTGTATCTTTTATCTAAAAAATGTATATAAAAATAAAGAAAACATACAGTCACTACACTTAAAGTACATTCTGTGAAGTGCATTGTGACGTCTAGAAGATGTGATAAGGCGCTATATCAAATGCAAAGCTTATTATTAATATCAGCTATCTGGTGGTCATCTGCCTTCAATGAAGTGGGAGGACTTTATAGGACAGCTTGTGACATGCCAGCCACCTTAGTGTTCTCAAGGTCCAAGTCCAAGGCCGTGTCCCAGGCATTCTCAGCACCAGCTGCTTAATCCAGGTCCTCATCTGAGGATCTTTGGCAAATAGATGTGCCCTCTGTAAAGCTGACTCCATCTCCAGGGTGCTCAGCAACAGATCAGTGTAGGCTGGAGCCCTCCCTTCCTGCAGCCGCTTCCCTTGTTTGCCACAAATCCATTTGACTGACCTTGGTAAATAATAGCAAAGAAATATTCCTTGCATCGAAAACAATTTCATACCAAACTATAAGTAGAGACCTTTAAAGTAATTTGCTTTACTGATTCTCACTATAAATAACTGAGGTTATTTTGCATTACTTTTTTTCCAAATACATTTCTTGGCACCAGAATCACTTGCAATTTTGTAATCTGTAAGTGTTGAAGCTGTTTGGAGTTGTGCTATAAGTTTTTGTTAGTGTCTGCCTTGCTTTCTTGAGTTCCAAAAGATTTTAGCAAAATGTACCACTTTTTTTATCCTGAATTTCTCCCACTTTTTGACATGAAAAATAAACCCTCATCCTCCCCATACATACCCATAAATGAAATGAACTTCAGTAGTGCTTGATTCTAACTCACATTACACAAGAATTTCTCCATCCTTTGTGTGATGAATGGCAAACATAGCAATGGCCTTTAAACATAATTTTTAGCACTGTACAAGTCGATATGGTACAGGCAAATGGTAGGGCCCAAAGTTGCTTGCAGCAGTCGTTGGATATGATCACCTTGGTCACTGAACCGGCCTTTTGCAGCATTTCAATGATGCTTTTCAGATTATCATCTTAATTCAAGTGTACATTTACCTTGGAGGGGTCGCTGTTTGAGATTTAGCGATGACAACATTGATAAATGTCAACATATTTTGACATGCTTGGCCAATATCAAGTTCCTAGTGATGAACCATTTGCTATCCCTCATATGTAGCCTATTATATTTTTTTAAAAAACTGAAACATAAATGAATTGCAAAGGCAATTATATTGGAATCTAGTGCTGACATGTAAATAGCCAGACAATTATAAATACAGTAGGATGAAATTGATATAATTGACTGCAAGCCAACGGATGTCTCACTTCTTGTTATAATAGCAACAATTATCAAAGGCTGTGAGGAAAATATAATACAAAGCAGTAATCTTGCAAAGCAAATAAAAACACGAACAATAATGTTGCCTCTGCAAAACGGTGACATACATTAGTTAAAATAATTGTAAGAACAATTACTTTAACTATTATTATTTTAATAGCAGTGACTTATATTAGTTAAAATAATTGGTCCTTGGGTGTCTGTATAAACAGTGGCCACAATTTTGCTTTAATGCTAACTTTCATATTTAAAAATAACTACATTTCAACAACAACAAAATTACATGTATACTGTATATCTGTTCACTTCTTAGTTTATCATAAGATGATTTCCAACAGTTTACATTTTCATAAGCATTTGATATTTTGATATAATTTTGTGGGGAAGAGTGCTTAGTCACTGTAATGTTTCTTAGGGCAATGCTTCCATTAGGATAATATACTTCACAAGGATGTCAGAGGTTATCTAGTACACCAGAGTTTGACCCAACATTTCCTAGATTTGATAAATTAATACTCATAAATGAAGTCATAGCTATCTGCTAGACTTCAAAACTAATAAACAATGTAAAACAATGACCTCAGTACCACCCGATGTCTCAATATACTCAAACACGTTTCATGGGAACCAAATGTTTCATTCAATGATAGGGATGTAGGGAGGTATTCATGTGTGCACAACTAATGTCTTATTTGTTTCCCTTTCTTTACGAGGAAGTAATCTTAAACAATATGATTTCCTAATACTCGCACTCCCACAGGAAGTTGGTTCGGCAGTCGGAAGTGGAACCATTCTAAGAGTCGGCAAAAGGCAGGAAGAGGACGTAGGACAAAACCAACATTCAAAATAAAGGTAGACAAATAAGGCTGCCTGAACATTTTACAAGGAAACTGAAATGTCCTTGTGTTATGCTTTGAAAGCAAGCAGGGGTTATAGGGTGTCATTTTGGCTCAGTTGGTAAGAACCTTTGTCTCTGATTTCAAGTCTCATGCTGGATTTGAGCTCTGGATTGGCAATGGATCTAGGTAGATACCAGCGCAGTACTTGGGGAGTGCTGGATTGTTGGAAGTGCTCTCTTTTAGATGAGATATTAATTGAGATTTCTATCTAGCTATTTGAGTGGATGTTAAAAATTCTGTGGTACTATTTGAAAAGAGATGGTGACCCGACTGAGAATCGTTCATCTTAATTGATCACTAACTTTGCTTAGTAGTTACTTGCTTCCTTTTGACATTTATAGGTGGTATAAAATGAACTTTTTCTATTGCATACTTTCATTTTATTACTGTGAATTTTGGATTAAACTATTCTGAAAGAAAGAACAAAAAGGCATGAAATAAGCAGGTAAATTAAGAATTAACAAAAGCAACAGTGAAACAAATGTTAAGAAACCAGAATTAAACAGAGGAAGTAAACAAAACAGGTTGAATGTTGTTTGAAATGTTTGTTTAAAAACAGAATGAGAAACAAACAAAGTGAAAAAAATTTAAAACACGAAATCCGTAGCCAGCAGATGACATGATTTTGATTACTGAAATATTAAAGTTAGCTTCAATAATTAATTTTAGCTGAAGCATTCTGAGGCTTATCGTTCTCTGACCCTTGACAGTACTCATATAGAATGGAAACTACCATCATAATCACAAGACACCAAATGTGATATCCATAACCGTTTAAACACGTCATCAATTAACAATGAAAACTTTGTGTGCAGATTATCAGCTTCAATGTTGCATTTGTTCACCCTTGTCTCCCAAAGATCAACCCCTCTACCTGTGAGAAGTGGGAATGCTCAAGCAAAGGATAGGATTTCAGAGAGAAAGGCTGAACGATTTATGGCTATTTATGGGCTGTTACATCAGATAACAACAACAATAACAAATTGCATTTATATAGTGCCTTTCAGGTTGGAAGGATGTCCCAAATTGTCAAGTTTTGACAGATCTCTGATAGAGACTGGCAAGTGATACCAAAGTAAATCTGTGGCTACAAATACACCGTCACTACCCATTACCGTAAAGTCCTGTGAAGCACTTTGAAACATTTTGATGATGTGGTAAGGCATTATATCTAATGCAAGGATTATTATTTATTATTGCCTGGCATCCAGCTAGTGGGGGTTCAAACCTGCATTTGTTGGATGTCAAACGACCAACTAATAATGATTGTTGTTGGAGGTGGGTGGAGGAGGAGTAAGTGGGATCTCCTTGGAGCTAAATTGGCTCCATGTTGACATGTTTGCTAATAGAATGTAAGAATCAAATCAATCCTCTGTGGCTGTTTCAGCTGTCCAGTTCTTGATACAGGCACATCTACAGTATTCCAAGGCATTGCTGATGACCCACCATCAGTAGGACAAGGAGGTTCATTCCCACTCAGCTCCTGTTAACCCTTCAAGCTAAAGCCCTAGTGCATAGCGTGGTCCTAGCTGGACAAGCAGTGGAAGCTTATCTGTGTGTTTCAATGGCAAGCTTTGTGGTTTTAGTTAGTTAGAATCCAGCAGTACCCA